GTACAGTGTACACTAATATATTAACATAGGCATAACATTAGATTTTGCACTGAAATAGGCACATCATTATACATACTACAAAGGTAGCAAATATACATTTTAAAGTTAGATCCGAATATAGAATATAAATCAATATTAGTTATTGCTCATATCAATATTGATTATAACACGTCCTTGAATTTTAAAATAACTTTTAGTTAAACATACAATGCCAAAAACAGTGTTTAAACTTTAATATTATGTTACATTTTATAGAAAAAATAAAAACGTATAAACCATATTAAGTAGGTATTATGAACGTTAAATATTAAATACATACTCAATCATATAAATTAAATATGATAAAAAAATTAAATTAAATTAAAATAATTATCAAGATATCACTTCGAGTACGTATTTTAAATTTTTGTCTCGATAATATTTAAATAATATGTTGTTTACACTATAACCCATAATATACCCCGATAAAAAAATACTATGTACAATTACAATTTACATGTTAGCATTTATATTTTATTTATTCAATACGAGATTACATATATACCTGCTATACCAAATTCTAAAAAAAGACATTCATTAAAAAAATGTGATTTCAGATAATTATTATAAAAGTCGATTTTATCAACTGTGCATCAATTAAACATGTTTTAAAGCAATTAATTATATTATAATATACGTCTATACATTTTAAATAATAAAATCGTTTATGGTGAAATTAATTATTTTTTTACAATAATCTGATTAAGATATTTTACGTTATCAAAAGGAAAAGAGAATATTTTCATTAAAAACGAGATTAAATAATGTTACATATTATACTGAAATACCTATGCCGTTACACATACTACGCTGTAAATTTTAATTTGTATAATATTGTTGTAAACAATTTTATTTACGCATTCCTAATATCAAATATTACACTTCAATAGCAATACAACAATTCAAAGTTAATAATTAAATAACTGATAAAACCTTTTACGTTGGAAAAAAAATTTAAAAAAAATATATTTAATTATACAGCAAACTGATGATCAAACAATGATTTATGCACACTAAAAACTGTTGGATTTTAACTTTCGGAGTTCAGTCGACTTGAGAGAATGGCGAAGTGTTCAAAACCATTGGGCTTATTACATTCCATTACAGTTTTTTTTTCTACCCCAAAACACACAATTTGAACAATGCCATTCTTTAAGTACCTATATACATTATACACCTACTCTAAGTTCAATTTTCTAATTTACAAAGATGAAAGGTGCTATATGAAACTCATTGGGAGTTTCTCTGATCTCCAGTTTCGATAGGATAATAACCCTACAGACCGAATTAAATATATAACAAGTGGCCACTGCTGAGAGATCACAAATTACAATAGGTACCTATAGGTGACGTGTCGATATAATTAAATACATTTATTAAAAAGTTTAAATTAGCTGTCGTGCCCACATCACGTAGACATATACTTATTATGAAATCGATTAAATCAAACAACGAGTTTATTAGCCCAAAGAAGTGGCTGATATGTCTCTTTCTATTTTCAAAAAATACATTACCCATTGGCTTCACCATGAATACGATGCTACAATATTGAAGTTTCAGGATTAATTTGTTTTTTTTTTTTTTTACACTACCATTGTCTGCCTTTTTTTTAATTTTTTTTTCTTTGCACATAAAACTTTTTTTTATATTATCTGTTCAAACATATATTACTGTTCTTGTGTTATTTTTTTGTTTTTTACCATGTATTTGAGTAGCTATTTAAGGAGAAAATGATAAATGTAAATTTGTTGTATATAAGATATCTCCTAGGCCTCCACACGAGTTTTACTCAGTGAGGCCTAGTAATCTTTACCGATATTAAAAAAAATAAAAATAAAATAAAATAAAATAGTTCGACAGACGAGTAAATTACCTAACTCTTTTTTTTATAAGAAAAAATACACATTTTTTTGTTAAATTTTACCATTTCAGACTACAGTAACATGTGTAAGAAAATTAGGTGGGTGTTTGTGTGAGGGAATGAGTGTTTAACCAGGATGAATAAAAACAGCGCCTTGCTGCCTTATCATAATATTTCAAAAACGATTGCACTCGTGGCATGTTGCTACAGAGGTGTGGTTCGGGGTGGGGAAATCTGCATGGAGTGCGTAGACGTTTTAACTATAAAAATGTAATTAAAGGTTAATAAGTAGTGTTTGAAAATTTCATGAAACTTAAGATTGTGAAATATTTCAGTATTTTAATAGATTTTGTTTTTTTTTTTTAAATAAGTTTTTATTTACATATAATTGTCAAAAAACTCTTCGTAATTGTATGATATATTTATACTTAACCTTTTGTTCATTTATGTTTTTCACTCTAATTCCTAAGTCCTAACTGTTGAGCTATAATAATTTAAGTATTGGAAACTAAATAAAAATAAAATATACCTATCCTCTGGTATTATATACATTTAAAATGGTATTCAACATTTTTATATTGGCAAAAAAAAACATACAAAAATGTTTAAACGATACAAATTCACAATATTAAACATTATAGTATAGTAATATGTCAACCACACCCCATGTTAAAATACCTTTGAAGTACCTACATTACTTTATTTTAATATTATATAACATAATATATATTTTTATCTCACCCACTTTCCTACATTAATGTACATTGTACATAATATTACAACTGTACATATTACTAAATGAAAAATATTTTTACTAAAACAAATTAGGTACTAACCTAACCTATAGATACTTTAAATGTCATACCACCAGTATACCAAGATACCATCGGAATAGCGTGCACATAAGATTTTTAAAAACTCACATTACCAAGACTATTTTCTGAGCTTTTACTTAAAATGGACAATATCTAGAACAAGCAGATAAAGTTGTAATACTTACCGGAAACGTTAGGATCAGCTTATAAGTGCAGTTTATCCTGATATTTATATGATAAAAGAACAACAATGGAATGGTTCGGTTAGCGTGCAATTTTAGCTCCTACAAAGAACCGAGAATCTGTGATTAATGATTAATTTTCTTGACTCATTTGAAGGAGTTGTAGCATATTATATAGAATATCAGTTGATAAAATAATACAAACAACAGTTAATTGCCCAGTAGAATTTCTCAATTCACTTAACCCACGTGGATTTCCAGCACATATACCTACTTCGAATAAAAGTAGAAACACTTAAATTCTACTTATTGTATTTTTCTTTTATACTTGACAGCCGCGGGTACCTGTAATATTATATTAAACACGAGTTTACTTATTTATTCATTTGTATTAGTCATTATTTCTGTTATGAATTTTTATTAAATTAATGTGGTTTTTTTAAGCTAGAGCAAGCACTACAGCAAGTGTGCTCACTATAACAACTATTCCAAGTTCACAAAGAACTTGTTAATACAAACAAATCAATTTCCTACGTAGTAAAAATATAATAATTATAAAATGATCTTTAGACTCTAAATAAAATGAGGGTAAAATAAACGCCTCGTGGCTATCGACCCTGCAGGTGGTGACGATGGAGCTAGATCGACATTTGAGTATCAGTGTGTCGTTGTGGCAATATAATTATAACGATTCAGTGAACAAAACACACATAAAAGTGAGAATAATACTGTATCTAGAGGTATGCGATAATATATATTATGATAGCACATAGACCATGAAAAACACTAGTAGCTCTCATAGTCGTCTCATCTCATGGGATGAGTACGTTCGCAATATTATGGCTACAGCATATAGCAGTATATACTGTGCATTTTAATATAATAATGTTTATGCAATCAAGGATGCAGAACCTGCTTATAGTACATATAGTGACAAATGTCATCGACAAAATAGATACTTACTGACACCTGTTATGTAAGCATATGTAATTAAAATTTCTATAATATTCTACTGTAAAATATCCTGCACGAGACAGTGGGGCCTATAGGTATATTAGGCAGGTATGTCGGGATGTATAATAATACAAATAAAAAACAAGACATTTAATATCTTATATTATAATGTAAGTATTAAGCATTCGACAGGTTTAGTTGGAGTTTTAATCAACTTCTGTAGTTCCAACGTTGTACACATGTTTTTTTTAAATATAATATAATAATAATAATAATAGTACATATTAAATATTATTATAATAATAACAGACAATAGTGTAATATTGATATTAACAGTGAAAACTGTAAACCGTGTAATATACCTATATACTAGTACGCTAACACACTATACGCAACTGTACCTGATAAGAAGAGTCAATCGATCGATCAGGTCCATAGGTCGAGACGTCTGAAAAGTCGGCCGATTCGACGGACCCGTTTCGAAAACGGCAGCACCAGTGTGGCGATAACAACGAGACGGAATAGTATTACAATAAATACCTATAATATATTATAATAATAATAATAATAATATTAGTACAATTATACACTCGAACGCCGGACGTCGCGAAGCCAGGAACAATAATAATTATCATTACAATAATCATAATATAATGATGTGATGGTATAACAATAAGACGAGTTATATTTTTTGCTATTAGTGCGTAGCGACAGTGCGGTTTAGTGCAAGTACGGTTAGGTCTAACGAACGTTTTTCCTGTCGTTTCGGTCGTATATAGGGACAGCTCATTTCCGGTCCGCAAAACCGTATACGATCGTATAAAATATTATAATATTACGTGTATCAACTTTATTGTTATCACTTCCACAGTTCCACCGCCGCGCGAGTGCTCCCATCGTTGTTCGTCGTGACGTCTGCTGGCGCACAGCTGACATGTGACCGATCGTCTGAAATAATAATTAATTAAAAAATTAAAAATACCGAAAAAATCACAAATCCGCGAGTACTTAGACACGGACGTATAGTGTGCGTGTGTGCGTGTGTGCAGGACACCTCGCAGAGTGCTGCGACACGCGACGACGTAATAGTAATAATTATTATTATTATAATTATTATACTCTCGCCGAAGCCGTCGATTCCACGACGCAATGCACGACAGACTGGGCTTAATAGTCGCCGTCGTATCGTGTGAGTACCTTACAATGGCCACTATACCTACCCATAGAGGAGTGTATTACTCATGTATAATAATGTACCCAATATAGGTATATGGGGCGTGGATACGCAAAACAGATTTTTTTTTTTCGAGGGCTCTCGACTATGATAATATTATCGCTTTCGAGCACACAAAATTCGTTTGTATTACATCAGAAAACATATGTTAAAAACGCATTTAATCCACACCCTATTATATAGTTGTCAACGATGACCGTAACAAATCTCGGGTGATGATCGGATTATACCTGTATATATTATATTGAACACACCGTATAATATACGACCCCTATAGGAGAAAGAATTTGAACTTTAAACAATTGGTATTTGTGCACGATGGTCATTCCCCTACGACGATCTAGTCAAAAAACTGCGTATTATAGTGATGTTAGTTACTTCGTTCACATTAGGTGGCTAAAAAGGTGTTTTTTCGGTTCGAGACAACTCCCGCTATAGGTACTACATATATAGATATCAATACAAGTGACTTGTTTCTGGGGGCCAAAGGAGTCATGGCGCAACCCCCACCCTCGCCAATCTTTTTGTGTTTTAATGAATTTTAGTCACTTTTTATTTTATTTTATTTTAATACCATACAGATCAGGGCCCAAAAACAAATTGAGACATATTATATCTATAGGTTAGGTACATATTTTAATATTACAGTAACGTAGTAATACACAGAATAAAATATATATAATATGATTAAAAGGAAAAAACAAATGGTGGTAAGACCCAGTTTATGGAGTTGTATAAAGATAATTAAAGGTGGAGTCTTCATTTGTATAATTATTATAATTTATAATATATTATTAATATAAATTTTGATGTGTTAAACACGTGGAGCCACAGATATTATATTATATTTGTGTTCAGATTCCAGACTGTGCATGAATGGACTATGGAGTTGTAGGGATATATAGGCGATTTGTGGCAAATGGCCATAGAAATTGATTGAATTGTATTATGAGGTTTTTGTATCACCCCACACCCTTTTAGAAATCCGGGCCACGCCACTGATAAATACGACGTAATTTAATAATATAATAGAATTAGAGCTGATGTATAATAGCATATATAGTATATTGGGATTCGTGATAGGTGTAACATGGACGTAATACCTAAGTAATATAATATCAATAGTCTTAAACCATAGATTCATCAGGTTTATCTACTTTTAAATTCCTTCGACAAATATGCAAAGGTCAATAAAATAACATTGTTATACTGTACTATTATGCTCTAATGGCTAATAAGAGGAGGGAAATATTAAAAATGATTAATTAGTAGAAATAAGTAATAGCTATAATAGATATTTGTAATTTTACTTTTGCATATTATAATATAAAATTCAATTATTTTTAATTTCTTATTAATTTCAATATAATAATATAATAAATTTAAAATGGTGTAGTTGTATTATAATGGTATTCATATAGAGTTACTAATTGTCTCTATGAATGCATGTGATTTCCCTAAATTCAAAACTTTCTTCTAGGGAGAGGCAACCTTAGGGAAATGAAAATGCCTCCCCTTGTCCCCCAACCATACGTCTATCTCATCGGCAATGTTGTCCTTTAAAACAAACCGTAGAGGTTAAACTCGTCAACGTTTCCGTCGGATGTGATATTATTTTATATCTACACTATGACATTTAACATAACAAATAGAAAATTGTACGTTCTGAACAATTCCTTTAACTCTGAGTTATGTTTAGTTTTAGAATGAATTTATCTATTACCAAATTTAGAAGTAAAGTAGTTAAAAATATTATCTATAAGTGATAATGACCATAGTATTTATTTTATATATTAATTTAAAGCGAGTTACGAGCGTTTTTAAATAGTAAATTGTTTGTACATACGAATTATTCATAATGTTCTATTTTGCTGTGTTATGCGTTTGAGAGACAAAGACAACGCATGAGGGTAAAGACGTCCTTTTGAGAGGACTCTACACCCGCATGTGTCGTCTCCTGCAAATGTCGTGCAAAAACTGTTTTTAGTGGGATAGAACCTCTCAAGCTGTAGCGATACTTATAAGACTCCAAATCGATGTACAATATAATTGAGAACAGTGCCAGTGAAATATCGTTTTCTTTTTTTGATTTCACTTATACATAAAAAGTTCTTATTGCTTCAAAATCCATATTTTTTTATGTTTTTCGGACTTGAATAACTTTTTTTGCAGTTCCGATATCGAAAAAATATAAACGAAATTTCACTGCCAAAGTAGGTACTCCTTTTTATGTGGTGAAAATTTCGTTTCTAAGTTATGAATGTAGCTTTTGCGGTTCTTTTCCGCGCAAAACAGTAAAGTTTTTGATATGTTTTACATTGGAAAGATAAAGACGACACGTACGGGTGTAACGTCCCCTTAAAACCAACATTATCACACGATAAACGGAATTTTATTATATAATTTTAAAGGTTATATTATGTTTGAAAATACAAAAAAGTGTTCACTACCGCAAAGCTAAAATAAATAAAATTGGAAAACTCTAAACCTATTCAATTCGACAACATCGTAGTTAATTATTATTCGATAAAATGTAATAATAATTTGAAACATAATACTATTGTGCTTTTAAAACTTCCTTCAAATATAGGTAGGTACACACCTACTACAATAATCTTATTAGATATTATAATGTTATATTTCGGCAAATCGCATACCTCATTATGGCTTATGCATAACAGCTGTAGGTCATCATCATTTAAATTTATTCGTTTAAATCACAGTGCCACAATACCAATAATCAATGTAATTAGGTACATACAGTTAATACTGAATATTATAATTTCATCAGTGCAGGCACCTCTCCTATGATATTATAATCAGGTACTCAAATTCAAATCAATTAGTCCATAAGAGGAGGGCAAAACTTCCAAATACGCGGAAGCGTTGTTGGTACATGAAACATAATTATTTCCGAACGATTAGTATAAGCTCGATTGCCTACTTATAAGTTGACTACTTATCAGTGGACACCGACGTGATTACGCCAATCATTATCGACGAGATTACGAGATAACAGGCCCACTAGAAAATACGAATATGGTTTTAAACGACAAACCATAACATATTACACTCAACGTGTCACCGATGATTTTCAAAAATATATCCGTCATTGTTCGGAACGGCGAAAGTGAAAGTCTACAATTAATATATTATATTTTTTTTTCATTTAAAGTGTACCGAAATAAAATTCATTAAACATTTAAAGCACCACTTGTACAATGGTAGTTTATTTATTTTTAAAACGGTGTAGTTTCACAACACTATACAATAGTATATACCTGCTCAGCTACGGTATCATTAAAACAATATAATATGTAGGACGTACACGTTTGTTTTATATATATACCTACGCGTTTTTCAAATACCTAAGGAATTTTGTCAACAATAACAACTGTTTGGATAGTCTACTGTACTTATTTGATAATAATAATATTATGTTCGTTTCCGTCACCATAATATTATTATCTATTTTACACTCACAAATATACGCCTTAAGATATTGTCCAGAAACATTTGCCATACCTACTACAACGATATTTTAATTAAATCATAATATACAGTCGTCTGCGCCTAATATGTAATTTCTATGTTAAAATGTACAACAAAAATGTGCTTTAAAGGTAAAACGAAGTAAAACACTAAACATACTTCCCCTAATAATATGGCTTTTAAACATGAAACAAATAATCCGTACAATTCTGCTTACCTATCAGTCGCAGTCATTAGAATTTTTCACTTTCAATCATTAAATAACGTAAAACTGTACAAACATTCAGTGGCCTGTTTGCATTATATTACTATTTACTATAGGTAGTTAGTATAGTTACTATACCTACTTATACAGTTTTGCATTATTTCTCTTGCATATAAATACATAACTGGTGTAAATAATATTAAAAAGCGAGTAAGTGGTTGTTGCCCTGCTGTTCAGTAGCCATGCTGTTTACAAGTGGGCAACAAAACAATATTTTGAAAATTATTGGGTATAGAAAATGATAGAATAAAATATATATGGTGCAAGTTATTTATTCGTTTTTAAATTACAACAAAATAAAAAAATCGCTAAATGAGAAATCGAATGAATATTTAATGTTGTAAAAATTTGAGCTTTAAACGTTCATAAAAATTAAATTTGACCTTCCGGTAAATATTTTTTTTTGTTAAAGGTGGAAAAACGTGAATCTTGTATTAAATTTTCAAATCTTAGTTTTTAATTTTTTATGAATTTCTACCTCAAAATAATTTGCATATTCCCGTGCATTTACGTACCCATTTTGTCAAAATTCGAATTTAAATGCCTACTAAAAAAAATTGTGACTATGTAGTTTTAATATTTTTCAAATGAAATTGTAACAATATATTAGAAGACTTGTATTAAATTGTCAAACTTTTTACCGAACGCATAACATTTTATCGACATTTATAGAAAAGAAAACTACCAAAATTGGAAACTGAAAATGTCCGTAAACAGCTCAAAACTTGTCAAAATATTTTATAGTGTATAGAAAATGCTAACATACATATAAACATTTAGTGAAAATTTCATGTATCTAAGGTCGTTTGTTTTAGAGTTACACCAAAAACCAAAATCGATGTCGTCAAAAATTCCTGTTTTTCCTTAATTTTTTTGTTTTTTTTCCGGCTTTTTTTGAAAACTACTGGGAATTTTTGACCTTCCAAATGCACCAACTTCATTTACTTGACCATTAAACAAGATACTCATCATTGTAAAATCAATACATTCATCGCTCCCCTCAGAATATAAAATAAATTAAATTTACTTTTTATTGAATAACATAGAGACATTAAGATAAATCCTATTTTTTTATTTCGGGAGTTCAAAAGTACTAAAAATTATGTATTTTTATGAACATATTATATTGTGTACGAGTAACAATACCTACATGTTTAAGTATTTAACATGGTGGGTCAGCTAATATAACTCTAGCAGAATATTAGAATCTTTTTACATTGTCCAAAATTTTTTTTATGTTTTACAAGATGTGTATAAATTACCTGTTTTTGACTACCAAGTAACCATATATTATTATTTTAAGAAATTTGTTGATAAAATGATAAATACATTTATTATATAAATTTATCCATTGGTTAGGTAATAGTAACACAAACATAATACCTAATATCTAATATGATTATGCAAAAATATTATTGGTATTATGTTTTATAATACGTTATATAATTTCTTTAAATTATCATAAAACAGACCTCTCTTAATTTAATTATATCACGTCTGACTAGTCTTTTTAAGCAGTTATTTGTCATTTAAAGATACATGTGTGTGAGTGACAACAAATATATTTTACTGTAGAATATCACAAAAAAAAGATTTAGTATGAGGCAAAATAAATGTAAGGCCTGGATGTATTTTAATAAGTTGTTATTTGAATTGTTTTGAATTATTTAAAGTACCTATTGATTTTATTTAAAATAGTTATTGGACCTAATTGACTAAATGGTGTTTTAAGTTAGGGTCACAGTGTTTTTGTCGATTTTCTTACGTCTACATAATGTAATACTTACAGAAGAAATAATTAAAAAATAAACCAAATTAATATTAATTAAATATCATATATAATGCTCGCCCAAACGATGAATGAAGATATTTCATAACATTACCGGAAATAATTTTGATTATGTGAGTTTTTTGTATTTAAAACATTCCTAATTCAATTGAAATAAGCAATAAGAAAATAATAACTCATTCAAAACAATAAATCGTATACAAACACACTATATTTCTCACTTACGCAATCACAATGTTATATAATATGACCACTTGTTGTATACGTCTTATAAAATAATATTGGAATTTGGTTTCGACAATTAAACAGATTAATATTCAGATATGTTCCATTTCCATATATATTATGCATTAAGTGAACTAGTACAATAAGCACATAGGCATAATAATAATACAATCGTAATTATTGCCGATCAAGCAAGTTCTGTTGTTTAGAAAAAATACACGATCTTAAAGTTATCACAAAATGTTTCAGCATAATATGACAATTTATTGTACTAATGTGAATTTATTTTTGAACTTTTGAACAGAGTCTTGCAAAGTTGTAATTTATACAAATTACATTATTATTTAGTTTTATTAAGGAACCGACGAACGCGTTTTTGAAACGTGTAATATAATGACATTTTTACATCTGATATTAAAGTCTGTAGGTGTACTATATATATTATTATATAGTTTGGCGTCTTGTGGATTAAAACTTTATACCCGCGTACGTAGTATATATGTATAATATAATATATATTATATACAAACCGTCGGGGGTTAAATGTAAATACAATATAGTGTCTTAAGCTGTTCCTGGCGTTTTATATTCAGCCACTCACATTCACGGAGTCGAAGTAAATTAATTCGTTTTTAAATTCAACCGACATCACTAAACAGTTAAAATTCATAGGTTGTATAAATTCGAGTTTTCTCAATTGAGTAAGAAATCGAATTCAAACGTATATCATCAATTCGAACCGAAACGTCTTGAATTCAGTGAAATGAGTATTATTTGTCTTTCAAAAGTCTTATATTGTAATCATTAAGATAAAATAAATATACTGAACTTATTACTGCGGTGTTATTATTCATACAACGATGTTATAATATTATTTGCATTTAAAAGAGTTGCTTCGAAAACTCAGTCCAATTTAATCAAGTTAATTTTCTCGTATCGGAAGTTTTACTGGAACACTGCAAACAATAGATGTAATAATATACATTAACGTTTTTACATGCACTTGAAATTATTTTTTTATAACAACAAAAATAAACATTAAGTAACCATAATTAAATTTATTATACCATATTACACTGAATACGGCACTGAATCTAAATTAGTAGTAATAACACATAATATGTATAGTTATAATGTTCTATGTTCACATTTAATTACCACTTTAATAACGTAATCAATAACGGTACCTACACCGACCTAACATTTTATTATGATAATAATGTTGTAAAATATGCTATTAGAACGATATTCTTCCCCCCAATCTTCCATCAAAAATATACGTAGGTACTTATATTAATATAAAAGTTAAAACTGCAAAGTTATAAAATAAATAACTATACCTATACGGCTAGTAGGTAGTAGGTACATTGTTTTTTATCAGACTGAATTCATGTTAATTTCTATGAAAGTCATCATATTATATCATATAATAATATAAATTATAAACCATGAATAAATATTATAACTTATTATTATTTATGGTTTATATGCATATTACATACTATCATATCATTGTAATTTTATAACAGATATAACTAAACATATTTTCTAATTATGCCAATTACATACATAATTTATTTTTATTTTAATTGAAGTATAGAGAGAGCGTTACTTTGTTTGAATTTAAGTTATTTATTTAAGATACAGTAGGTAGTGTAGTTTTTTTCTTAAAATCTGTTTTTTATACCTATATAGTAGGGCAGGACTCGTAAGTCGTAGGAGTTTCTGAAAATGACATGACCGTAATATTATTATTCGATTTCACACGTAGACATAATAGTTGTAGACTTAACTTCAAATTACATAACAGCATAAGAAAAAAAAACAATCTATCATAAGTATAATAAATAATAATTGTCGTAGATAATTTTTCAAACATTAAAAAAATTAAATTAAATTAAAAATTATTATACGACGTCATAATATATAGAATTATGAATCTTCTATATTATGAAAAAATAAAATTGACAAAATCCTTTCAAAAAAAAAAAAATACCTACGTGTTTAAAGTTTTGCCATCTTCAATTATATTGGATTATCATAAAGAAAATAAAATAATGTATCAGTGTTGACGCCTTATTGTTACTAAGTATTTCGTTAAAGTACCTACCTATACTGCACCGCATATATAAGTAGGTAATAATTAAGAATTAATGTACAGTATTAAGTCACGCACGTTTTATTAGATTGAGTAAGTTATACACAATCTAATTAATAATAATTAGCCTATTTTATAAATGTAATTAGTATTTTCTATATGCCATATGCATTTATTTTAAGAGATGTATATAGAAGCAAGTTTACAATAATATAATAATATGTATGTATAGGTTAACTAAATTACATATTAAATTATTAAATTAAATATCAGTACATTATTGTAATCTCGAAACATCAAAGCATAAAAATGACGTACGTATTCTCAATAATTACACTCGACATTTCGCATCCAACACAGGTTATCTGGTTCAAACCAGCTTTTGCAATCGTGACCTGTTTCCGGAGGGCGTTCAGCTCGGCTACAGATGGAGGGCGACGACTCACGTGGGTACCGTGTTCCCTTCGGAGCACTTGACCAACTATTCGGTGGAAGCGTACTTTTTAGTTCAAAACGATCAAAATTTCACCAACTTTCAAGTACGTATATGTGGGGTGATGTGAATTGTTCTTTAAAATTATAACAATCGATTTCCTGACATTAGATCAAAGAATTTAAAACGAGCGAAAACCAACAAGACTACCCGTGGATCACGCTTCCGTTCCGATGTGTTTACAGAGACGGCGAAGTGCAAAAGTTCGAGAGCGAAAGCGGCGACGTGACGGGATCGTTGAACATAAAAAGAGCATTGGCCACTATGTTTCAGCTGAAATTGGATTCCCTGAGGCGACCGTCGTTCGTCGCACAAGAGGTAGGTACATAATATTGAGTATTGATGGACGAGACCTTTTGCGGCAGCGTTCCAATATCAAACGAAGTTATTGTGCCGAATCCTTGATAAATTATTGATTTTTGATTTAAAAAATCTAAATTCCTTTTTTTCTTTTTAAAATTTTAAAATTTTTTATTCATCCCAGAGTCCCAACCCTTGATGTACCTATATAAAATATAGGTACTACACAGGTAATTTAAAACTAAAATTACAGGCTGGAGTCTATGGAAAATGCAACGTTCAGTACCTTGTGACTAAAGAAAATAATAACACAAATGTAAAGAAAATAATCAACTTTTCGGCTTGTGACAGTAAACTTGGACAACAGTGGAGCAATACACCGGCGTTCACGTGCCCATCGAGTTATCAAGTAAAGTTTAAAGGAGCATTGAGTTTAAGATCAAGATAATATTTTCCAAGCCAAAATTCACTTAAATATAATATTTCTGTTATTTATAAATATTAAAATTTTAGGACGGGAGTATGAGTCATAGTGTTCGAAATTATAATCTGGACGAGATGAATGTGATTCGGTATTTGAATATTATCGGTACAGTAGAGTTCCAACCGTTCCAAGCGTTAGCAGAATCTCATCACATCTTTGTGAAGTAAGTCTAAAAATTTTACACACAAATAAGATTGACTATCACCAGATTCTTATAACAGCCAAACATTTGAACTTGACGACATTTTTCCGATCGGTGAACCTATCACGCTGGTAGCAAAGTTGGACGACTCGATTGAGTACGACTTTAATCACTATGAAGATCCTACAATGGGTTTCAAGCCGTCCAATAAGTCTCTTCTTTTGGAAGAAGTAATATTTATATCATAGATTATTTTATTACCTAACAACTATAGTGTCAATAAATTACGTATTATTATACAGCTATAATATATATTATTTTATAGATTCTTGATGCACTCGGTCAACTCACAGAAAGTTTGAGCTGGGAAATTGGAACAACTAACCTAGACAACCAGACTGAGTTCAGAGCTTTAGAACTCATGTGGTGGTTAGATAAATCTGATTGGACTTCATTATACGACACGATAAAAATCGGAACCAGTTACTCACAAGAAACCATACAGTTCGTACGATTTAAACTGGAAAATTATTATACCCGTGTGTCAATATTTTACTTGCTCTTTTTCTAGACACTTCTTTTGGGATTTGGTACCACAAGTTGGATCAGCTTCTTCAGTTGAATTTATTTGTGAACTAATAGAGACACAAAAAATAACGAGCTTTTTGGCCACTGGATTGTTAATAACGTTTCCGTACCACGTTAGGTATCCAAACGAAAAACTCTTAAAAGAATCCGAAATTTTATTGTATCTCGATGGAGATCTAGAAAACGAAGTGAGAAAAGTAGCAATTTTGAGCTTTGCTTCGTTGATACATAAAACGTGTGGTAAAGGAATGTGCTCAGACGATACGCAGAACAAGTACATCAAATTATTTTTAGACAAATTCATAGGTCAGTAACATGGTTGTATTTAAGAAAAATGTTTTTAATTTAATACATTACAAAATGCTATGGCTTTTAACAACAATAACAACAACGACTACAAATAATATTAATGTCACTCGATATTCTTCGAATTATTTTGTACAATCGTTTAATATTTTAGTATTTATTTTATTAACATCGGCGTATTCGACTTTTGGTACAAATATTATATAGGTTGACTCAACAATTTGTTGCTATAAGCCAATTTGTTGGTTAGGCACTCAATTGATCAATTCGTATTTTATTAATTTCACAAACATAATTATGTAGTTATGTATAATATTTTTACATATCTACTCATAATCAATATTAATTTTACAAATTATTGTTTACCAATTGCATAACCTGCAATAAGCTACCTATAAAGTAAAAACACTAAGATATTTAGTATTTATTTAAACCTGTATACAATTATGATTAATTAGTATTTTAGTTAAATTATTAACCGATAATTAATAGTCTGTTCGTAAATCTATCATTGCTACTTATCTAACTATTCATTATATTTAAATTTGTTTCACTGATGGGCAATGCACACCATCATATCTTATTAACAAAATTGTTTTGTTAATATTAAATAGTAATGAAAATAGTTTTTCATATTGCGCGAAATCTACAGTTTTGTTGGTTAAGCTTACGATTAATTGTAATTTGTATTGTTACAAGTCAATCGATAACTCAATTGAAATCATTTTATTTCCTTGTATACGTTTATTCTAAAAATATTATGTTTTAGAATCCACTTCACACAGTCGACAAATGCTGTTCATCGAAGCGTTCAGTAACATGAAAATCGACAATGTACTGGACTTTTTACAGCCGATTATTACAGATCATAATCGTTCTAGACACATCCGATTAATCGCTATTTGGGCCTCGAAATCAGCCACTACTGCCCACCCAGAAAAGGTATATTATTATTTCACTATCGTGTTGTATCATAATCTTTAATAGTTTAACTGATAATAAGCCAACCGACATAACAATTGTATTCGGTTGTCATACAAACGTTAACTCTACGCGTTAATCGTATTTAATTTTTTATAATATTATGTATTAAGAAATCAAATACTCATAATATGTACAATAAAATTGACTGATGGACGTGTTAAATTATAATAATAATAACGTTTCATATATTTATATAACAAATAGTTATAAAATACCTGTGGTTTATACACCTTTTCTCAGGTCGCTGAAGTGTTTTGGCCGATATTGACAAACCACTCTGAACCTATGGAAATCCGAACGTCAGCGCTAAACATGCTCATGATGTCCCAGCCGACTGTGTCTCGGTTTTTGACACTCTACTGGTTCATGCAAGCCGAACCCAGCCAACAGATTTATAACTTTTACTACACAACGATCAATTCGATGGCCAACTCCAAGTATCCTTGCTACGACAAATAGTAAGTTAATATCTACGTACAGGAAATATTAAAGTGCATCTATTATGTCGTTGGACGCAGTAGTTTTTTTGAGATTTTTTATTGTTGTGGCTTGTGAAACTAAGATCTTGGATTTTGATCGAACGAAAAACTATACCTGATTTATTATTTTAAATGAACTATTTTATTCAATAAATAAATACCATATATTTATTATAGCGTAAAGTAAAATCGACATTTTCAAATACTAATAATAGTATATTAATTATTATTATTAAAAAAAAATTTTTTTTAAACAACACGTCCGGGACAGCGTGTTGGACGGCGTTACGTATAGGCAATATAGGTACAGTACTGCGTTGAAGAACATTTTAAAATGTTCATGTTTGACTCAATATTGCACACATTTTGTGGCATGGTAAAAAATCGAAAATTAATACATTATTTATTTAAGCTTTATGTATTATTTTATTTTATCGGTATTTACATTTTTCTTTTCACAAAAATTAAAAAATCGCCACGTACAACGACATGAGAACCTGTAATATTATAAGCATATTATGTTTATCTACGATACGTACAGTTAAATTAAATTTTTTACCTCAGCAGCAAAATAGCCGCTCAAATTGTAAGGTTCGTGCAGCACAAATGGCATCACTGGTCCACCGGAAATTACCTGTTGGATTACGAGGACCCTATGAGAGGATACGGCGGAATCGTTCAGACCATCCTGATGGCCAACCAGCGCACCGGGTTCCCGTCCGTGCTCCGGTTGACGGCCGAACAACACTCGTTCGGCACGTCGTCTGAATTTCAGATTCACCTAAAATTTGAAGGACTGGCTGACAGCTTGAAGAAAGAACTGTTCAATACCATGGCGAAACCGTCCTATGAAACGACCGACGCGCTCAAGCACATACAGGACGTGCTCGAAAAGGCTAAGTTCACCATCCGGGAGGACGAAGACCTTCACTTCGAGACGATTATCAAAATCAACGAGCAGACCATCTACTGTCACCACTTGAATCAGACCACGTTCAAGAGCTTCGCCCTTGGTACGTGTTAGTGATACTGAGTGTTTCACCGTGTTCATCCATGTCAATAACTATTTTTCCAATCAATAGAATATTTGAACTTGGGGGAAAGGGATCAAACACTGATCTTATTGTTTCCGTGTTTTTTTAACAAATATGGTATAGTTAAAACTTTAAGATTTGAATTTTCAATTAAATACCCAAATGGCTAGGTCAAATTAAACATAGCTATATCTACGAATTGAGTAATAACTACAACCAATGCCAACAAACAGGTTTCATACCACAAAATATAAACCAATGAGTAGGTACTGCAAGCAATTTGGTAAAACTAAACTATAAGAATAATTATACATAATAATTCTCCTAATACCTATCATAGTATCATATTATAACCAGAAATTATTTCAGCAATATTACATGATGTATAGCAGAGTAGTAGGTATACAATTACAAAGAATTCATAAACGAAATTTAATTTTGCTTATTTTTGCATATCTGGGTTTCCTTTTATATTTGAAGGATTTTTAATACATTTTTAAAAATAAAATACAAATAATTGTATTACACAATATTATTATGTTTGTTATTTATGTGACATAATTCCAAATATGTACTTGGAAATAATATGTGCTTAGAAGGATAAATAATCGTCGTGTATGTATTTTAGAGACGTAGGTATACTCTTTAAAACTTTTGTATAGTACTAACCTAACTACTAAGTCCCCCCTCCGATGGCCACCAATGATAATGAAGCAATATTATAAAGCGTACGATTTTAAATATAAAAACATATAACGGGCATATTGTTTCAGTATTGAAGAGGCTGAGTTCGTTGTATTTCCAGTTCAGTTTGAACTACCAGCGTCTATCGTTCCCGTTACGTTTCCAGAGGACGCACTTCACCGATTTTGGAACACCAATCCTCTTACAGTTTAGAACGGCATCATTGCTGTCATTACGAGGAAGCATCAAGCAGACTGAGAGCGGCAAGTCAAGGGACGCTGAACTAGACTTCCGGTAAGCGCCAAGCTATATACATTCTGATTTCGTCATAAATAAAAATTTTGAAAAATGTGTTTGATTTGGAGCACTGATTTCCTTGATTTTTATGTCGTTTTAACGATATATTATGTTAAAGATACTCCATGGACACGGTGACCAGTCTGAAAACGTTCAACCCGCTGAGCAGCACTTGGAGGGGTGCCGATCGTTTCCGTTGTATCCATGCGAGAATACCGTTTTCCACCGAGATAATAACGCACTTTTTTAGATCTTACATAAAAGCATCAGCCTACAGGTACAAGAATTTCGTCGACGGGTCGAAGCTGGGAATCGTTTGGCATTCCGCGACCAAATTGGTTCCACCGGAAAACACTTTACCGGTCGCCAAGAAAGACGAATTGCTCACCGATGTAATTTTCCATTTTAACGTTATCTTCGTACTAAATATCTATCTACCCATAATCATATCATATCACATAGACACAGTACCTATTGATATTTTGGTTAGATATAACGATTTATTGTACTTGTCTTTAGGATTGGGCTTTCGAGTCGAGAGATTTAGGAGCGAAAATTGCCACTACAGTTTTCGACTGCCAAGATGAAGGAAAATTTTCCAATTCGTTGATAATCATCAAAGAAGCATTTCAGATCAGTAACAAAAACTATCAGTGAGTATATTTTTTCTCGGTTTAAAAATTAATAATATTCCTCCCGGGATGGGGACTTTAGTAGGTCCCGGTGGCACAAAAAAATATATAAATAAAATATGTTTTCAACCACTTTCAAAAGACTGTCCAAAAGTATAAATGACCTCCGTCTCACCGTCAAAACCAAAACTTACACACACATACCCCAACTCCTATTATGATATAATTTAGATATTTATTGATACTTAGTGTATATAATATTATGTACCAGTAATACCTGCAGAAGTGTACCATTGTTCATTATTAATATTGGATTATATCTATACAAGAAATATTAAATTCAAACATATTTTTGTTCTTTAGGGCCATACCCGGAGGTGTTGCTTTGCTGGGCATCTATTCTCTGGCCAATTATTTCACGTTCATTCCTCCAGAAGACAGTTGTGGTCTGGTATTGTCCCTGTCGCCGTTGCAGGTTTGTCTTCGAATACTTACATAATATAATTTGTTTTATTACCTATACACTATCATGTGTATACGCAGATAAATATATTATATTTAGCGCACGCTGGTTTGTTTTAAGTGTATGTACTAGTGTGTGTAACAGGAGGGAGGTAAAGGTTATGAGGTTATATCGTACCTAGGTATATAATATAATGAGCCACTTACACAACAAAAAAGTTAATTCGAAGTTCGAACGTTCCATGTATACTCCAATACTTGATATTAGATTCTCGTAAAAATGATTTCAAAAGACGCATATTATATTGCTTATTTTATATAGGTACCTAGTAGTAGGTACGGATTGATATTAAAGTATATAACCAGTCTATTCTCGAGGAACCTTATAATATTTATATTATATACAATATACATAGGTGCAGTTTGCCCTCGTCCCCTATGATATTTTATAGTGGAATCAAACATAGGTGGGTAGGTTTTAAGCTCTAATTTATAAAAGCTAAATAACTACGATGTAAATTAATCCATTAAGATATTAAGTACATTAACTATAGGTAGTGAATTATTTAACTACCTTAATTCCCATCTTTGCATATTGATAAAATAAATTAAAGTTTCTCATGGGTAGGTATAATAATATGGATAGCACTAACTGGATATATTTTCACTAATTTCCAATATATCACGCATTACCTAAACTGCAGGTGGTTCCCGTGTTCGTCCAAGAGGGTAACACGATGCACATTACGATGAACCACTACGACCAGACGCTCTGGGGCCTGACCGCGCATTACGCGCGCATCGCGGACGGCAACCAAGAGATATCGTTCAAGCTGAGCCACTCGAACCGCGAGCGGAACATCACCATCACCAACGGGTACTGGAGGCTGCTCCGGTTCGAGGGGTCGTTCATACTGCCGTCCCGGAAGTCCGGCGCCCTGCACCCGCCGCCGCCGTTGCACGGACAGGCCACCGTGTCTTGGGGTTACCACGATTCGGCTACCACCATGCTCGTGTCCATCAAGCCGGAGAACGCCCGCGAGGAATGGCCCGAACAGTGCGTCATTGATTCGCCCACGTGCCTGCAGACCGCCAGCGACATTTCCACCAGTCAAATCATATCGCTGCAATTCGTCAACGTGAGCATACCTATATATACTATAATGAACGATATTATTAGCCCGACGCGATACTATTGTAATAATATATTAATATTGATTAACACAGCCGGCTTTTCCGGGAGACTTGACGGCTCGCGATAATAGATCAATCAAATCGAGGTGCATATTGTGTACCTAGGTATAGGTATCCACGGTTACTGACGAGCGACCGTCAAATCTTCCTAGTTCCGGCTGTTACTCGAGAGGTGCCGTGTGTGTAATACAATATATTAATGTTACGTGTCCGTCGTATAGAACGATTCTATTACACCGCAGCAAATCCTATCGATATATCCGGATATCCCTCAACCCAACTGTTAGAATCGGTGCTCTCTATAACTTTTTTAATCGAGTCATCGAATTATAGCCTTGTATGTTTATGCTGTGATGAAATAATCGCCCGTTGCATTGACAAATACTTATTATGTTACCTATGATATAGGTAGTTATTAGTTAGGTACCTACCAATTACCTACACGCTACAAGTACCTACCTATATTATATTTCGTTACGGTAAAATATCAATAATGGTAATACGGTAAAACTATGGTGACTGGAAGTAGATGATGGTATGGGTACAGCCATACAGAAATTATCGTACAGGACCAAAAATCGACTGATTAAAAATATAATGACAAAAAATAATATCAAATCCAAAGTGGTTGCAAAAATTTACAGACAAAATGAGTGTCGTACCGTCGTGGTAAATATGAGATAGGTTCCTAACCATATTGTGTCTTTGTGTCTTTTGTGGTAAATAGGTACAATACTATAATAGTATACCTACTAAGTTTTTGCAACTGGATATGAGTTTTTAAACAGCTTAGTGAAATATAACATTATATTAACAGTCTTCTATAGTTAAGTAGATTTCTGTTAGAAGCAATAATTTACTATAGGTAGATGTAAATATACATATATATCTACCGTAGATTGGATATCTCTACCTAACAACCTATATATAGCATATACCCAGGTAGGAACTAGGGTCTAGGACTGGCTCAAAAAGGGTTATCGACTCTTTCAATATAGTTTCAATAATAAACTTAAACTCCAAAAACCACATACAATACCTATCACCTATAAATTATTATTAAAATATTATATTTTGTCTTTAACATTCCCGACAAATTTGGTTTTACATTCCGGAGTTTAAAAACAAATATACAAGTGATACCGTATACCTATATACGGGTCGATCCATTTAAAGTATGACACTTATTTATTATTACAGAAAACGCTAACGTTTTTAAAAATATTTCTTATACATAACATTACATAGACACAAAACCACAATTTAGGCTAAACAAGAATATTTTTTACCGTTGTTGTTTTGTTCAAGTTTTTTACTCTTCTGAATGACACGTGAGAAAACAAGTATTTAATTCCATAAATATTCCTAAGCGGAATATTATTCATATTTCAGAATATTTCGATCTATAAAATAATAAAAATCAAATTTTGGACAACTAGTTTATTAGTTATAACCGTTGATTATAAATACTAGTAAAATATACTTAATTCATGTGTGTCATGTCGTGCGAGGGCTTGGTTATTATATGGTTACGACTGGTAACCAATATGGTTTAAAAGTTGAACAGTCAATTCTTGGTATACTCGGTTGCACCTTGGTTATTACATGATACCAAAAAAGTAATATCCAATCACAATACGATTTGATCGACACGACACGACACACGAAGCTGGTTATAACTTATACCTAGGTATATTTTAAAGTTTAGGTGAGTGGAATTGTGGAGAGTGGACCAACATTAAGGGAGGTGCAGCATACAACTCCGGTCAGCTCATCTAAACTTTAATTAGGTGCTTATAAGCCATCAGTCCAAAATTATATTTTCACACACTAACATACTCCAAAAAATACTCTGTTTTAGAATAAGGCATTAAAATAGCATGGCCATTGAGGAAGGTAATGAACTTAAAATATAAAAACGATAAAAAAAACAATAAAGAACGTTGTTTTCTAACAAGTTAAAAACTTAAAATTATGTAAAATAGAGTACGTCTGTTTGTAAAAAGTTAGTAGTTTTTGAAATAATGAGTGTGTTACGTTAAATAAATCACCCAGTATATTAATTAAAAATCAAAACTTGTTTAAAATAGCAATAATCACACATTATTAAACTAATTCTAGCTGCCAAGTTGGATGATAATTACAATGCATTCATTGTTTTCTGATTTTGTAATGGACGAAGGTAATATGACCACCGTCAAATTTACATTTCCAACTAAACTTCCTTGGACTACCCGGGGTGAGTATTTAATTTTAGTAAGTAATGCCAATTTAGATGTACAAAAAGTAAACTTAAAACTTGTGGGTTTAGGTATCTGCGCAGTCAACTCTGTGACGGCGTTGAGTTTGGATAATTCAACAACACACAATTTCAAGTTAAATCAAGACTGCTACACAATAGCGTTAGCAGACTGTTCTCCATTGTCCCGTTTTATAGTAGGAATTAAAATGAACACTGTTAATTCAACTTTGGTGAGTATAGAATTATAAATTGTTCAAGATTATATAGGTATTGGTTATGAAATCTGGAATTTATGTTTTTGTAGAGTGTGCGAATATTGACACAAAACAGTGTAATGGACATGGTTCAAGAAAATTCCGACATAAAAGTATACATTAATGGAACTGAAATTGAAGTCACAGCAACTGGAATTCAATATCCACCGAAAAATAAAGATGATATTTTTATTTATAGGTACACTATTTTTGACTTTAAGACTTTAATAAATATTTATTATAAAATTAAAAAATTTTAGAGCGAAAAAATGGGATGAAGAAATGACTGATCTAGAAATTAATTCTGGAATAACGGTTCAACATTATGGCCATACGGTCATTATGTTGGTTGAGAGTAAATTGCGTGGATTTACATGTGGCTTATGTGGAAATTTCAACAGTGAAAACAGTGACGAATTAAATGAAACACCAAAATGTGTAGAATTGTAAAAAAATAGACTTATTAAAAAAATAATATTTAAAATATTGTATAACTTTCATATATAAATAAATGTACTACATACATAATAAATACGTACATATATAATTATTATGTAAATAAATTAAAATTTTATAAATTAAGAAAAAAATCAATGAGAATAATATCACGCAATTGTATAAAGACTATTTAACCGGTTCTGCTGTACATTTTCAACAAATTTTTCAGCCCTTGAACTCAACCTCTTAGGTGGTAATTTATAACGCATACATGCTCTAACATTTCTTTGGTACATGAAAATAGCAATCATAAAGTCCCACGCAGTAAATTCTGGCCATAAGACTGATGTAAAATAAATGTAGCTGTAAGAACACTGAAAAAATATAAAATAAATTAGTTGAAACAGCAGTTACTCTACTAAACTAATTTGCAAAACCTACTAATTTACCTGCCATAACATGAAATCACTCAGTCTAGTCTCACCAGATGTGCGTATTAATAAATCAGGTGGTGGGGACGGATAGGTGTACATACAATTGTCCAATATTTCTACTGATAAATCTGATTCCTCTAAATCATTATTTTTAATACCATTAGATATTTTACTAAATGCATTTATTAATTCATCATGTCCTGAAAAAAAAAAAAATGGTTACAATACTATTAATGTATACATAATACTGGTATTTATAATCAATGATACCTAATACCTATATATCATAGTAGATTTGTATAATACAAATAAGCAAAATTAAATTATTATAATATTTATTATAAAATTAATAACAAAATTAATAATAAAATCGAATTGGAAATATAAAAGAAGGGGTGCTAAAGTACTTATAAAAAATTAGCGTTCCACTCAAAGATTTAAATCAACCTAACCTATGGGGGGCTTTGCCCCCCACGTAGTATTAACAACACCAATTAAACAATCATTATAACTATACAGAATGTATACTACAACAATAAATAAATATTATTAAATTAGGTACAAACAAATCTTTTTATTTTATTTTTAAAATACAAAATTTAATTGTTTACATTTTTAATAAATTCCATAGTTCTACTATGAACAATACGGGGGCTCGGGCACCCATTAAAATTATTATGGGATGCCGGGCACCCATTAGAATATTGAAAATGTATAACGTGTATTTATATCCAAGTTCCAACAATTTTAGCAAACAACTATTGAAATAAAATTCTAGCTGTGATAAAAATTGTAATTTTGAAATTTTGAAAACAAAAATAAATTATATTGATAATAAAATGTACGATAGTACAGTTTTGGTAACCACTAACCTACATCGTTTTAGATATTCAATTACAACTAAGGTATCCATCAACAATCTATGGCTAATGAGACAAATTACAAAATTACTATTATTTTGACTGTTCTTCGGAATGATCTTTTTCGGCACTTCGAAGATTAAAAATTTTTTTAAGGTATCGTTAACGATATTGTTTATTGCATGTCCGTAATAATGAAGATGTATATATTGATAAAATAGCTAACTCATTTATAAACTTAACAATAATACATGAAAACACATTTATTTTTTGAACAGTCAAATTTAATTAATTTTATTTTTTGTTTTACTTATTATTATAATTATTTATAAATAAGTTATCAATTTGGTGAAATTTTAGGGGGTTTAATTGTAATTAAATTGTAAAAAAGTCAATTCCATTTTTTTTAAATTTTACTGGGACATTGTCTTGACCAGTGGCTAAGCCCCCTCCCCCAAAAATTGTGCATTTATGCCTATGATACCAAGGCACCCATTAAGTTTTATAAAACCTGGCGCCTATACTACATTATTAAATTAATATTATAAATTATACATGAATATATGTTTGAAAAATAAATTAAACCTATTGGCTATTATCAAACTTAAAGATAAAAACATAATCTGTGTACTTTCATTGGATTTTCCACTATTTAAATTTTAATATTTTACAGACTCAAATCTTGCTTTAAATTTAAAATATTGTAAAAAAAAAAACCAATCAGAGAACATAGATAATAATTTGCCTTTATATTTTACAACGCTTCAATTCACTCTTAAACAAAAAAAAACAACCCTAAATGAATTCATATTTGGTATGTTGTACGTAAGACAGGGATAACATAATAAATGTAGATCCTCCTATTCTTAATTTTATCCAGTTATAATTTAAGTATAACATTTAAGGGGCCTTGTAATGGCATTGATTTAAAGGAAATCATTTAGGCAATTTCTAATCTCGTCGTCGCTACCCGAGATATATGTGTTAGTCGTAAATGATTATTAGTGTGTGTGGCGTCCATGCGGGTCAATTGTAGCGGTGCGGAGGGCTCTCGCACACACATGTCATTACATAATAATATTGTGATCATGAAAAAATGGTTATTTTTCACTTAAACATAAGATTCTAATTCCAACAGTACGTCGCAACGATTACCTCGATTTTCATTCTGACAAAATACTCTTATTTTCCACAACATGTACTAGGGATCGACCAAGGCACATTTTTAAAATTTTATTTAGTTAATTAAATATTTAAGTTGGAAATTCTGTATTTTTATTGAATTTTTTACAATTTTTATTGCAATTTAAATTACAAAAATTAAAAATGTGGCTCGATCGTTCCCTTGTATATATTACGGACAATCAGAAATCAGAATATCTTTTCAGAATGAAAATTGTGATAATTGTCGACACGTATCGTCGGAATTAGAAACAGTAGTTTTGGACAAAAAAAAAGACTTGGTAGCAAGGCCCCATAAAAATTAAATATAATGGTACTCGTCCAAAATGCTATCTACCGTAAATATTTTATCTACCGTAATTTTATGATAGTTTATTATGATATCTACCGTATGACCGTATGCTGTATATTATGTATACTTTATCATTTTGCAATTAAGATTTAAGATTAAGCTTTTATTGAAACCCCAAATTATATTATATTTATAACTTAGTAAGTAAGGTAGATTAGTAGGTATATCTTTATATTATACCTGTTTAGTGTGTGTTTGTGAGTCGTGTTGATTATAACTATACGTGGTTTTATTGTAATATTTTGAAAACAATTTATAATCGATGTACAAAAAAGGGGTGCCAATCATTTTATTCCATATGCAAAGTAAAAGTAGATGGCATACTAAACCATCGAACGTGCGGTAGATAGCATATTGGACGAGCACCAATATAATTATTTTAACTAACCAGTATAAGAAAATGCAACATTTAAAAATGTCTTGTTGTTTTGTTTTGTTATAAACATTGACTCTGCTATTAACTTAACCAAATCCTCTGGTAGTTTTTTAATGTTACCAATAACATTAATACACACACCATGCTCATTCAATTTATCTCTAAAACAAAAATAATACATTAAATTATTAGTATAATTATTGTAAATTAAACTATTAAATTGATTAATATCTACAGTTTGAAAGTTATTATTAATAAATGGACGAACAGTATTTTTTAATCATTTAATCAATGAGTTTACAAAAACAATCCATTTTATGTTTTATTTAAAATAATATACTAGAAAGTACCCACATATTATTATATCATTAATGCAGATAGACATTGAACGTATTGATAAAGTACTTATCAAAGCTAGTTTTTTAAGCGTCTATCAACAAAGTTATCTATCTATCAGAGACCAAAGTAGCAAGTACCTATTAATGTGGATACCTATAGAACATATTATTAAAATGTGATGTTAATAAGTAGATTGTACATCAGTCCACAATTGTTGAACAAAAAAAATTGATAGTTAATTGGTAACACATAGTTACTTCTTATTATTTATTTGATACTTTAAATGCTTTTATGATTTATATTGCCTCAAAACTCTAACCCCTTCTAATAAAATTATTTAACTCAATAAATACAAAAGGGCTCACTACCATTTTTCCCATTAATAATGCTTTTATTCAGATTTTTTTTTTTTTTTGGGGGGGGGGATTTTAAGAACAGCAGTCTGTTATACTTTTGTATAATAATCAACTCCTTCAATCCCTTAAATTTAATTGACAACCATAAAGCTAATGAATTCATTGTCAGCAAGTGAGTCATCAAAATAATAATTAACAAATTAACATAAAAATGTTGAACCAATTAAATATTTAATTTTTATTAGTTGATAAATCTATATGTGTTCTTTGTAAAACAATTTGTATATGTATTATACATTGTATCTTTCAAAAAAAAAGTATGTCAAGCAAAAATCTCTAATGAAGGCAATTTTATAACTAGTACTGGATGGCTAAATAGGCATAAGTTTCAAAAAAATTTACCACAGACGAATTTTCTAACTTATTTGCATAATGCTCATCCACATGAAATAAATAAATAGATAATTCAATTAAAGTTATGTTTCTACCGCCAAATCATACTTCTTTACTTCAACCTATGGATCAAAATATTATAAAAATTTAAAACTTCAATTAGAAAAAAATTTAATAAAAACAAGTTTATATAAGTGAATACCATATATAGAAATATATAGAAGCAAATTGTAATACATATTTAATGACTGACAAAGACATTTTGACACATTAAAATTTAAATTAACACAGAAACTAAAAAGTAAATACAGACAACAAAATATCAGAAAGCATATCAGAAAACTATCAAGCTGTTAAACATTTTTGAGCTTCTTTTATCAAGACATACATAATATGTATTGTAAGAGTAGAAAAAATGGAAAAATGGAGTACCAGGCTCGCTGGCCTGGCAAACAACTCATATTAAGAGGACGTTACACCGACATTTATTATCTCCGTCTTACAAGTGTGTAACATATAAAACGCTCAGCAGATCATGTTATGCTTCAGTTAGTTTAAAAATGAGAATGAATTTTGACCTCTTATAAAATGTATAGGTAGATTATTATGTAGAGCATCTCATAGGCATTTTGTTATATTTTAATTTTAAAGAGTTTTGAGTAGTTTAAGATGTACAAATAGTTAAAATTGTTTAAATACTCATAACTTTCTTTAAGATCAAAATATAATAAATAGTCTAAGAGATTCACTAGATCTCACCTTTAAATTTTATAAGAGGTCAATTCACTCTAATTTGTGAACCATTGGAGTTAAACGTGATCTTCTGAGCATAAAATTTGCCATGTTATACACTTGTAAGACAGAGACTGCAAATGTCGGTATAGTCCTCTTAAAAAAATGGTAAAACACCAAATTTTTAAAACTAAACCAAACAAAAAGAATACTGTCTCATTCTTTACAATAATAATAAAATCAATAAAACATATTTGTACATTTCTTATGTAAAATATTTATGTAATAGGATAAACTGAAATTAGTTTACTACTATTTGCAAATAGTATTAGTAATAATACATAATTTTAAGAAATTAGTAAATTAAAATGTAATAATGTGATTTATATTAAAATGTTGGTTTTTTTATTGCATATTTTATTTAAAAATTTTTTTGTTTATTTGTTTATTGAAGAAACAATCAGAATTTAAACTCAGTAAGTATGCATGATTGAAATATTAAAATATACAAACATTTGATGGTAAGAACATTATCTGTGTTATGTTGGAAGTTTTTTATGGTCATTCAGTTTTTAAGTGAGTTATGCGAGTATAATAAATGTAAATTAAAAATGCTCATAACTCACTAAAAAACTGAACTATCGAAAAAAACTACCATCAAAACACAGATAATAATCTTACCATCAAGATTCATACAAGGTAGATTCACTCTAATGTGTAAGGGATAAGGCTTGAATTGCTGAGCGTAAATTTGGTATATTCCGCGGTTGTAAGACGGTTACAACACATACGGGTGGGGCATCATCTTAATTGCAAAAATACAACTAACGATAGTAAAATCACAGTGTAAATTAGGTCATTGGACCACTGTCCACCACATTTTTATCTCCACAGGACATTCCTCCTTAAATATATAAAAATTGTAAGTATTTAAAAATAAATTCTTCAAGAATATTTAAAATTTACAAAAATCAGAATTTAAATAAATGCATTATTAATGGTTAAAAATGGGCTAAGCAAGCTTAATGAATCATCCTGTATAATATACAATGGCATCCACAAAAATATTGAAATATTTGATTATTTATTAGTGCCATACTATAAAAGAGTGAACATTTTTATTACACTGTTTGAAAAGGATAATTTAAATATATAGAATACATTTAGATTTAAGTTTCTAAATAAAGTATTTATACTCCTTACCATGAAATAAACCCATGTCTCATTTACTTCAAAACTATATTATATTATCATTGATCATAAATACTAATAACCATTTAATAATAGTATTTATAATCAATGATTATATTAAACTGATTTAGCGGTCAGTGGATTAGCCTAGACAATTTTTGAATATGTCCTATTGCTCTACCTAAGAATTGGGCACATTGGTTTATTTCTAGACACCCTGAATTGTTTATAAAAATATTAATATCTTTGGCGAAATGTATAGAAATGTACAGACATAAATATGTATCAATGTTATCATGATTTTACATTTAAATTGATTATTATCAATTATGAAATAATATAACTTGAAATTATGATATTTCATTTTTAACAGTAACTAAAATATATTACTTTTCTTCCAAAAGTCTTTTAAATTTTTCTCTGGCAAGATCAAATAATGCATCGATTTCTTCTTGTGTTCGCTTGAAGTTATCTAAACTGAACGCATACACAGTAACTTCTTTTATACCTAAATGCAAGCACCACTGCAAGGTTTCAGCTAATTTGTCAAACCTAGAAAAACACATACATAATTAATAATTATAGACAATATTATACAGGCGTACTTGGTTAGATCTGACAGTTAATTATTTATTAGGAGTACTATATTACTTGGCCGTCTCAGCAACTCAATAGAATTCTAAATTTAAAAATATACATACATCATATTATAATGTACCTATGTCCTATATAATATATTTAATACCCACTATAATATTGTAGAAAAATAACTAGGTACATTATAAAAGATATAATACTCAAAATATTATATTATTAAACAGATAAGAACTATAAATCTCAATAAACCTATGAACCTGACAGCTGATGATATTAGCAATAATATTAGTTTTTAATAAATCTTTCAACCCATATCACTTTAAAAATAAGTTACAAATCATAAAAATTGAAACTCTAAGCTTTCTGAAATATAGCATTTAAAAACAATGACTACCTAAATAACCAAAATATGATTATTATATTATGCAAACTGTAAATATAAAATTTCAAATATATTTTTAAGTTACAACTTAAATTAGGCACACATAATAAGTCTCGAATTTGAATATTTCAACAAAAAATAACAATTTCAACAAAATCACTGTACTTCTAACTTCTAAGTTAATGATTAATAATATAGGTACAAACTAGAAAAAATAATTTACTCACAAAATATATTGAAAGTACATCAATGAATTTATTGATCAACTAGCGGCTAAAACCCGGCTCCGCCGGCTTGTTTTTATTTATAACCATACCCCCTCGATTATGAAATAAATACTCAATTTTATTTGTTCAATTATACCCCCCCCCCTCACAATCGCTATAGTTCAGGTTGATGGAATATTGGTTTTATGTGCCATATTATACTTCATAGGCGTGGACACCACCGAAAATTACTTAGGTTCGTTATATGACCCTTGCAAAGTAAGCTTATAAGCTGGTCCGGATTTAGTAAACAAGCACATTTATAAAATCTTAATGACTTAGTCTGTACACATAAAAATAAACCTCAGACCAAAAAATATAACTTAGCTATACAACGTAATATATCTAGTTGAAAAATACTATTTTCTACTCGCAAACACCTCGTAGGTATATATACTAGAATAGGTATGCTTATATATTAGAAAATTAGAAAATTAAATCAAAGAAATCTATGCAAATTTGATTATAATATTATATTAAAACTAATGACATAGAAAAATAATACGTAGGTATATTATGATGGAACATATAGCAGATCAGACGCTATCCAAAGGTTATTGAAAGTACTTTTAGACATTCCAACTCACCCTCGTACGTGTCCTTCTTGCTTGGCGACACACTTTTTCTTGGCATAACGTCTATTACCGTCCATTATAAATGCTACATGTTTCGGTATCTCTCCGTACGTTAGGACTTGGGCGCAACAGCGTTGCATCCATGTCATAGAGTTGTCGCGTATCCAAGACATGGCCGGGTGTGTGAGGAACAGAACATCTAAGCCATTGTACGGACGCTGCAAGTTTATAACCGTGCAATTGTTGACCTTTGATCGGTATTTTATCTAGGTATTTCTTTCAAAAAGTACATTATTGTGCACTAAATTTATTAACGATCAAATTTATTAATGCACGCCCAATTAATAATAGTGCCGAGCGCACGTATAAAACGAGGAAAACGAGTAGGTATTATGAATTATTATGAATGATATTTGTGAGGAAAAAAAAAACCTAAGACAAAGTACAGTAACCGGAATACGTTTAAAAACTAAAAAGCGCCTGTTGATTTAATATATATTTATATTATTTATACCGAACTACGCCGAAGTCAAGGTAGTCGTGGCCCGTAAATGTAACGTTATCACAATAATATTTAAAACACAAAAATACGAAATTGATAAAACGTTACGAGAAAAAACTTGGCACTTGAGATATAAAAACCAAACCTAGAAAAATATCTGATACGTGTTTCAAGTTGGATGGATAAGACCAAGGACGGCGATAATTAATGGTAAACTGGCGGCACTGTAAGTCGCGATGTCTTCATTAATGATTCATGAAGACGTTGTAACTTGTAAGCACGATATATATCTTAAATCGTGCTTGTAAGTAGACGACGTACCATCCATAAATTATTATAATTTATTATTATGAACTTTTCAACTTTCGCAGGTTGCGACCACGAACTATTAAATTATACTTAATTATATCATTCTTAATTCGTGGTTATATAATGTATGTACCTATAAAAATTAATAGTTATAACTTTAGTGGCGTAGACATGATTTCTGAAAGGGGAGGGATAAAAAAAAAAAAATTGATATTGCTAAATGGGAGGGGAAATTCCCCACCCTCTCAAAACTCTTTACTAAGGTAATGAAAAGCCAATGGAGGGATCTGACCCCCACGTCACCCCTTGTGTACTCCATTGTGTGTCTGTGTAACTTGTATAGTGTTTGTGTTGTACACATAACACATACTATAACCATATATAGGTGAGAAGGGTGAGACTACGAGTCAGCCCGGTCAATGCTGGATAACATACTAACACTTAAAATTTAAATAAAAAACTTGAATTAAAATTTTTTAATAAAATGTTCTAGTTTCACCTATGGACTATGGTTGTACAGTTGTAGGTTGTAGGTACATAGGTACTATCTATAGGTCTACACTCCTGCATATACAGATATACTCTATGGTATATATTATATAGAGCACAGTTTAAACAATAATATATTCAATGGTGTTTTTGAGGGTATACGGATTACTGGGATACCCATTTACCATTAGGTGAATTAGGGTATACCCTGTGAAAATTTTATAAATACGGACGTATATGCTGGTAGGTACTAGTTAGGTGTACATTAAAATTTAAAATAATAAAACAATACGCGTATTCTGTATTATTATTTATTGTCATATTATGGCATTTATTAATTATCTATAAGTTAGAACCGTGTATTAGATATTTAGGATTGGTTATTACCATCGTAAAAGAGTATAATACGCATTCGCATATTTATTCATCGTTCATGACCGTGAATATTAAAATTTTTTTAATAAACCTCTTGAGTTGCCGCCACAGAGTAGGTAATAATAGAATTTGCTAAGAGAATAATCAAGTTGAATGTTATAAAACTAAAAACGTTAAATCTGACCTGTGAAAAATAAAAATATAGGAACAAAACCAAGTAACAAAAAATGTGTTTTTGTAAAGTTTGGGAATTTTTAAATGGATCACATAAGACTAAAAGAGTCTCGCAAATAGCGAAGTGAGCTACTTTTTGAAAGGTAGAATCTAATTGGTTTTGCGCTTTTAAATTCATCGCATACCTATGCCATATTTGTATCATTGAATAAGTTCATAAATGAGCGTAGTATACCCAATAGATTTTTAACGAAAAAACCTCTGATAATATTATATTTTTTATGTATAAAGTATTAGGTAGGTATTGTACTGTGTACCTACTAACTATTAGTGTCTATTACATAAAATAGTCGTATATAGTCATATAGACTATAGGCCTTCAGCACTGTATAAAGAATACAATTTATTACCTAATCTATATAATAGATATCAAATATAGTTTTCTTTAAATTCAATGCCCCGGACGTCGTTGGTATAATACTATAATGGCGTTCTTAAGTTTATGGAAAATAAAAAAGTCATCTACATAAAATATGACGTATAAATTATAACATATTTAAAAAAAATAATAATAGATATTACCCAGTAACTTATTCGTAAATTCGTTGTCAATTTTTACACTTTAAACGCCGATTTCAACAAGTAGTTGATACGAGTAACTAGGAGTCCATGGCCATGACGTGTCAACGGTGGTGTTTATTTTTGGGAAAATGTTCGTCAGAAACAATTAATTCAGGAAAATACTTATGATGGAATACTTTTATGATGAATTAATTGATTTGTTTTTTTTTCAAAAGTCGCTTGTGTTTTATTAAAAAGAGACTTATTTTTGGAAAAGGAAGTTAGGTCCAAAATCACTTTCTTTAAACTTAGAAATATACTAAACATTGCAAAAAACATTACAAAATTTAAAGAAAAAAAAGAGTTGTTCTGAAAAATTAGAAAAATGTAAAAGGCCTTTTTTAATTGAAACCCCTCAATTTTTTTTCAAAAACAGAAACCAATTGTAAGCAATGTAATCAGGGACTGGAACCGAACCTCAAAGAACCGGTTCTGGAACCGGAACATTTAAAATATTAATAGAAGCGGAACCAAAACCGAAACCTTTATTTTAATAAATAATAAGTACCGGAACCTAACAGGAATTTTTAAATTAAATAGGTTCTTTTAGGTTCAGAATCGTTTTCGTATACAATTATAATATCATATCATTGAATTTAATACAATCCATTATACAGTGTAACTTGTAACCTATACTGTAGGTACAGAAGACCGAGTACCGACATCCACTTACCAGCTTTTTTTGAGTTTTTTATTTTCAAAATTGTAATACCTATGTTATATGCATTTTTCGAAAGTAATATAAAAATGAAGCTGCATATATTTAAGACTGCATATTTCGATAATTTTTGTGCAAAAATTAGTCCCGAACTCTACTCATATGTATTTTTTATAATATTATACCCTTACTTATTTTTTAGAAACCCCAAAAAAAATTTGAAAATACGCCACTGGTTAAATGTAATGTGTAGACTATGTAGTCACGACTGTGGAGTGTAGAGAGTAAAATCTAATAGTATAGTATGTAATATTTGAGATTGAGACATAATATAGGTAGGTATAAGGTATGATGAACATTTTTACAAAATATGTTGTCATAAATTATGGTTCTCTTTCAAACTTGATAATATTATTATTATGAAGACTAATGACATGAAGGAGAGTGTATAAAGTGTAAAAATACCACAAGTTACATTAAAATTAAAAAAACCTTCTCACCAAAAAAAAATCTCTTGGCTACGCACCTGAGTAATACAGCCTGCACTGGTAAATTGTAATCTATTTATTGTCTGGCGTCTGCCGTCTGTAGGTGATTGATAAAATAATTTATTAGATTAGACTAAAGTTAATCGTTAATTATACATATTATATATTATTATTTAATGATGGGTAATAATAGGTAAATACACACAATACAGTTCAGCGGGTTTATCATTATTCACTATAAATTATAATAAAGAGCTTAATGAGTAATCAGAAATATTAAAAGTTTTAACTTAAAATGTTTATTGTTTATTATTATATCGTGCATTGCACATTTGCGTATAGGTTCTTTATTTGACCAGGTGTATACCAGGTCTATATTATGCTCTGTTGAGTGGTGGATCCGGATTACGGTGTCATTTTGTGGTATTGACTATTGACACATCAAGATTTTCGAGAAAAAAAAATTCTATACGTATTATTATGGTGATACGTAATAGTTATAATACTTAGTAGTTTTAGTAGGTATGTAGATAGTATGTAGAGTGTAGACATGTAGTTATACCTATATAGGCTAAGACTGATAATAATTTACGAAAAATCGATTTTGGATTTTGGTATAACTCTAAAACAAATGAACGTATATACATGACATTTTCACTGGTCGTTTGTATTTGCATTTTATATACACGATAAAATTTTAAAAATATTTTGATTTCTTTTGAACTGTTTAGGAACATTTTCTGTTTCCAAATTTATATGTCTTTTTTTCTATGAATGTCAATAAAACTTTATTTGTTGGTTAAAAAAGCTTGAAAATTTAATAGAAGGCTCCTACTGTATTGTTATTTGTTACAATGACATTTGAAAAATATTAAAAATCCTTAGTTAGAGTTTTTATTTATAATCATTTAAAGTTCAAATCTTGACAAAATACGAGAAAATCATGAAAATTAGCATATTATTTTGAGTTGAGATTTCATATCAATTTTTCTTTTTAAATTTAAGATTTCAAAATGTAATACATGATTCCTCATAAGTTAAAAAAAAGTCTACAATCAACTCAAATAATTAAATTTTTATGAATGTTTGAAGTTAATATTTTGACAAGATTGGATATTCACTAATGTCGTGACATTGTTATTTTGTTGTAATTCAAAAACTAATAACTGTATTATTGTACCGAGATAATACATTACAAACGATTTTGTAAATTAACTGTCGTTGCAAGATTCAATGCCAATTGTAAAAATTATACCAAAAACTACAAATATTTAGTTACAACTAGAATAATATTATTTTTAATTTAATTTTAATCTTAATTATTAGGTACCTATTAATTATTACATTAAACTAGATTTAAACTGTTTTGAATGCATAAATATTGCATTACACATAAATATAATGATATAATGTAAGTTATAATGTGTATATTGTTTATTTGTTTACACACATTTAATTAGGTTAAATAACTTTTACTTTGAAATACAAATAAACTACGATACATACAGACATACATACATACATATATTATTGATATTATAATAATATTATGTTGGCTATAGTAAATAAATATACCTAAGTGTAATACCATGCTGGCTAAAAAGGAGACTATATTGTTTTGTATACGTAAATGTTTAATCGAATATAATTAATTTGTTTATTTATACCATAATAGTTGTAATTAGTTTAAAATACGTTTCCAAATAGTAAGTTTTATTGTTTTGATTTTTTTAAATTTAATATTTAATATTGAGTATTTAAACTTAAAGTAAAATTATAAATTAATTTAATTGTTTTTCCTCTGCTCAAAACAATCAACATTCAACACTGCAGCCAGTACGAAAGTTGTCGAAGTAATTTTCAAGAAATTCCAGCAACGTCGTTGATACCTAAAAAAAGAAAAGGTCTTACGGAAATCCTTATCTCTCTCCCTTCTCGCTGGTTATGATTAGAAATGCATGAGTGAGGATTTTAATTTTTTAATTTTTTAAAACGCATTGTTAGTAGTTCTCAGTAAGGGAATGAAATCTTAATTTTAACAATGCACTAATGATTTAAAAATATATATAAATGAAAATAGTCGATGACGAGGATAGTATTTTAAATGTTATAAATAGGGCTCGGAAGTTGTAGGACTGTATAGCAGTTGTATATTATTCTATATTATGCTCTTGATTTATAGAACATAAAGCAATTTCAATTTTGTTGTGCATATTTCTTGCATATTTTTCCTTTTTTAGCTCCTATAGCTTTCGAGCACTTATAGTTATAACTTATAAATAATAATATAAATATTTCTACAGGTAAGTCTGGTAAGTAGTATACAATAGTTTAAGTACAAATAAAGTGTCAATTTAATTTAATTAAAGTTACTTGAATGGTTTATATATTTATCGCTACTATTCTAACTTTGGTTTGTTGTTATTGTTACATTTTTCACCAATATCCATATGGGAGTACTGGTAAGTAAAGTTCCTAATAATGAACCCGTGTAACTTATAACTTTATGGGTGTTGGCAGAAAAAATTAACAGTAGGTACCTTAATTGAAATAAATTATATTGCAGAATAATAATTCACCAGTGCGTGCGTTTAATAATTTAAATAATTAAACTCTTATAATATTTCCTATTGATTTAAAATTATATCCACAAATTCGCCATATAAAAAAAAACTCAAGCAGACTTTTGCAAATTTTATCATCATTACATTATTATTTTTCTAACTATTGTCAACCGTGACGGTACTTTGTCAAAACACATAGGTATACCTATTAAACAATTCTTATATAGATACGTTAAAAACAAAAACGTATCCACAATTGATCATTAACAGTAAATTACTTTGTGGTAAAAGTGTGGATAAAATTGACACTTTATTTGTACATGTGGATTAGGCCTTAACGGGGACACCACAATAAAAAAAACGCGCCATGTATAATACCTCATGCATTTAAACGGACTTCATTATTCCAATGTTGTCGTTTATCTCTAAGGTGGTGTGGAATTTTATACACAAATAGTGGCGTATATAGGGGGTGGGCACAGTGGGCTGCAACCCCCCCCCCCGAAATTACAGTATTTTTAAATAGAACAACAATATATCTTATTAGGTACTATTAAAGTTATAATATTTCATAGCCTGTTGAAAAATAACAAATACGAATATATTCATAGAAACTGTTTAATATATAGCAGACGGTATAGGTAGCCTCTAAGTAATAGATCACTTGCAAGTTTCTGTCTACTATAGTCTATAGCCCACCCCAAAAATTATTAAATAATAAATTTAAATTATAAATTATTTTTAGCCACTGGGCTAACGATTTATACTGATCGTATAATCGTATATCAAGGTCCGATACAGGTCAGTACTCAGTACGTATTATAAAAAGCAAAACATAAATAACAAATCCGTAAATAAATAAAATAGACTTATTAAAAAAATAATATTTAAAATATTGTATAACTTTCATGTATAAACAAATGTACTACATACATAATAAATACGTACATATATAATTATTATGTAAATAAATTAAAATTTTATAAATTAAGAAAAAAATCAATGAGAATAATATCACGCAATTGTATAAAGACTATTTAACCGGTTCTGCTGTACATTTTCAACAAATTGTTCAGCTCTTGAACTCAATCTTTTAGTTGGTAATTTATAACGCATAAATGCTCTAACATTTCTTTGGTACATGAAAATAGCAATCATAAAGTCCCACGCAGTAAATTCTGGCCATAAGACTGGTGTAAAATAAATGTAGCTGTAAGAACACTGAAAAAATATAAAATAAATTAGTTGAAACATCAGTTTCTCTACTAAACAAATTAGCAAAACCTACTAATTTACCTGCCATAACATGAAATCACTCAGTCTAGTCTCACCAGATGTGCGTATTAATAAATCAGGTGGTGGGGACGGATAGGTGTACATACAATTATCCAATATTTCAACTGATAAATCTGATTCCTCCAAATCATTATTTTTAATACCATGAGATATTTGGTTGAATGCATTTGTTAATTCATCGTTTCCTGAAAATAATTTAAACAATAGGTAGGTATGTACCTATAGGTAACCTATACGGCTATACCTAAACCTATACCTATACCTAAACCTATACCTAACCACAGTGATGGGAAAGAACGCGTTCAATGTTCATATTGTGTGAACTTGACATGAACGAGTTCGATTTTCAAGAAATGAACTTGAACTTGAACCAAGTTCTTATTAATTATGATTTTGAACGTTTTGGGTTCGTTCATTGGCAATTTAATTCTCATAGAACAGGCGACTTGATAACGTTTTAAAATGTTTTGTAGCCGATCAGGTTCCTTCTCAAGAATCAAAATATTATAATATTATATAATATGTTTTTTATTTTGTTTATTTTTAGTTTGGATATTAATTTTTTCCCTGAAGTTACGACGCCGTTGGAAGCCGATAAGAATAATATGTCATTTTATGGTATTGCTGCATTGGTATATTATTATAATTCTGTTATAACTTGATAAAATAAAGTTTTATAAATAACATTCCCAAGACTAACAAGTTCATGCAAATTATTTTATGCTGTATACACTATACAGTGTTCCATAGAATAAAGGGCGATTGGAAAAATATAAAACTATTTTTATCACGCAATCAAAATTATTTTTACTTTATCTTACTAAACATGTGCAATGTACATTGTACACTATATTTTATTGTACCATTAATCATTATGAATAAATACTAAATAGTATTAATAGTATTATAAATATTTTTATATTTATTATTTATAACATTCTTTTAATTTTTTACATGTAGTTTGTAGTTATAATTCTATTGCACTATACAGACATAAATTGCAATTTTTATTTTTTAAACACATTATCTTTAGTAATTTTTTATAATTTTTGATCATTTTAACAATTATGAACTACTGCACTAGAATTTGAACTAGTTCATATTTAATGTCTTCAAACTTGAACTAATTCATTTTCAGAAATAACTTTCCCATCACTGCCTAACCACCTAATTCATAATACCTATAAAGGTATTATAAATTAGGTATAATATCTAATATATTATCCAATAGTGAATTAAGTATTTGATTTAGAATTCAAATGCAAAAATTTAAACTCACCAGTATAAGAAAATGCAACATTTAATGATATCTTATTGTTTTGTTTTGTTATGATCATTGATTTTGAGAATAATTTAACCAAATCATCTGGTAATTTTTTGATGTTACCAAAAAAATTAATACATACACCTAGCTCATTCAACGTATCTCTAAAACAAAATTATAATAAATGTATAACTATAATATTTAAGTGATAACTAATAACAGTATTCAAATCAATAAACATAAATTATTGTAATATATATAGGTAGGTATATAAGGTAACCTACAGTAGCGGATCTGAAGCTCATTTAAGGAGGGGGCGAATTGGTATCATAGAATTTCAATATATATACATATATAAGTCAATAAACAACTGTTATATATAAAAAAAAATTAAACAGTATAAAAATTCAACAGTCTTTTATTCAATATTAAATAAACAAATGTATTAATAATTTATTTGTGCAACAATTGTATGGTCCTTTTTTTATTAGCCGCAAATCTGTCAATGAACAATGACAATAAAGTATTTAGCACTCAATATTAAAATTGAGTTATTTACCACAGTAACAGTGAACAAAATATTTAATTTATTTTATAAAAATGAAGTGATAACAGATTTGATGGTAGGAAAAAAGTCTCGAGGAAAAAAAGTCCCGGGAAAAAAGTAACCGGAAAAAAAGTCTTGGGGGTAAAAAGTCTGTTTCTAAAGATAATATTATCATCTAATAATTATGTAATCATATAATAGGTAACTACTAAAAACGAAACAGAAAATTACATTACATTACATAATTATAAAAATCCTAGTTCTATAAATTGTTATCGCTGTAAATTTTAAAAATTATTTTTATAGTTTTATGAACTTTTTTTCCCCCAAACTTTTTTCCGTTCCCCAACACATTTATAAGGTGCTTAGCGGTGAAATGATTTTATCTGTCATTCTATCTATAATCTAAAACTATAACCATAGCAAGTTGTCTACAGCAATTTTGGTTATAACCAGGAAAATATTCTTTTATACGGTTATAAACTTATAACCAATTTCAAATTTGATTTGAACATAATCATGTTATTTAAATTCGATAATTTGTATTGATAATCAAATAACAATATAATTGATAAGATATTAAAAAAAAAACCTTTTTTGTATAATTTATTAAGTTTAAAGTTATAGTAAAGTTAACACTTATGAATTACATATTCATCATATCATACGGCTCTATAATTTAAGTAAAAAAAATAGCTAGGGGGGGAGTAATCGCCACGTCACCCTCTCAAATCCGCCACTAGTAACCTAGGTTTAAGGCATCCGCCATCCACATTTTTAATTATTTCATCCTAATATATTATAATATTATTATCATACCTACTGGCTATACTATAGTAAATTCAATTTTTTATGATTGAGCATTTATAGCCATAAAGAATAAATGTTGATTTAGATTTCTAAATAAAATATTTACTCTTTGTTGCCATAAAAAATGTTAATGTCACATGTAATCATGTCTAATGTATTGTTTACTTCTAGAATCATTTAAATTCAAAAACCATCCAAAACTATTAATTAGGTATAGGTATAAGTAGAACTAGGTAATATAATAACCAGAAATGGTGGTGGGCGAATTGAGCTTGAACATTTTTATTCTGGACAGGCATACTTTCCTACCCTCTGTGCCATATGTGGACACCCTACGGCCTACATTTATTTTACCTACCTATATTATACCGAATAATATTAGTGTCCAGCTAAATGTATAGAAATATACAGATACACGGTACCTTCCGAGATATAAAGGTTAAGTGATGCACCAATATGTTATTGTTTTCTGTCTTTACATTTAAGTTCTAGATTAGGTAGGTATAGGTAGTTAATAATAAAAGTTAGCATTTTATCAGTCACTTAACTATATTACCTTTCTTCTAAAAATGTTTTTACTTCCTCAAACAATGCATCGATTTCTTCTTGGGTTCGCTTAAAGTCATATAAACTGAATGCGTACACGGTAACTTCTTTTATATCAAAATGTAAGCACCATTGTAATGTTTCAACTAATTTGTCAAACCTATAAATAATACATACATCATACGGCAGATATATCATATAAATACAACCATTAATCATTATCTTATATTATATAGACAATCAGTTTTAATTACGATTTACGACTTGCATCAATCGCGATAGCTCCAAATTACGTAAATTTAAATACCTAATACAAATATATTTTTGTTTAATTATTTTTATTTATTTATAGGTTAAAAACAATTTTTAAGAGCATTTGTTTTAAATTTTGTAGTATCAGTATTCAGTAGGTCCTTGTAGTACTTTTTTTGTATAGGTTAATAAATTAATAAAATTAATATAAAATATATATCCATGCTATTTCAATGTTACGTTAAAGCGAATATAGGTACCTAATAGCCAATAGCTATTGGCAGAGAAATTAAATGACGACCTAATGGCGAATACCGATGCAAATCAGGAATATGATCACTTAAAAATATTTTAGAAAAAGTTCTAACTCACCCTTTTGCATAGCTTTCTTGCGCAGAAATACAATTATTGTTCTCACCATAACTTCCGTCCATAATCAACGCTACATGTTTTGGTATCTCTCCATAGGTTAGCACTTGGGTGAAAAAACGTTGAGTCCATGTCATGGATATGTCAGGTGTCCAAGACTTACCCGGATGTGTGAGACACAGAACATCTAAACCATTGTACCAATGTTACACATTAATTACACGTACATGAGCTAATCTTAGTTTATATCAACCTACCTTTCATATTCATAAATCTATATTGTTTTTAAAATTATATATTATTTTAATTGGATATTATATTATTATAATAATTATTAATTAATAATGTTTTGGTATTTATTGAAGGTGGTGTATTAGCGTACATTAAATTAAAAAAATTAAAGTAGTAACAACTAAGTAGGTACTTAAGTACTAAATTTTAAAGTACAACAGTTCAATCTATACAGACTAGGGTATATTGCATAAGCCATAAACATAACTGTCAAAACTCAAAATGCTTAAATAAAAAGACAAAAACAATAATAAATAATAAATAATAAATAATAAAAATGTTCTTACTTTTTATCAAATTATCCCAACTCCATTTATTTGTTGTAATAGTTGTCATCTTGTGGCCATAAAACGCTGTATCTATAGCTTGTAAATTTTAAACAAATTATTAACTACAAAAAAGCAGTACTATTAATATTTTGTTATTTTTGGTTGAAATTAATAAAATAATGTGTAGGTAGGTAAGTCTTTAAATGTATCTATAGATCTACATAAATATAATAGCGTACCCTAATATAATAAAATAATATGAATAATATTTTTAATGAAAATTCACAGAACTTTAAGTAAGTACTAATGTACTATACTACACTAGTCTTTTTACAGTGTAGTACCTATACAATAACTATTATATATAAGTATACTATTCCATTAATGTTTTAATATTCCTATACATTTTTATTCAACATCACGATCTTCATTCATCACGCGTAGGTAAATACTAAAATACATATACATAAATTATATATATACGATATTACAATATACATAAAGGTATAATGCATATTGCATATATTATATATATATATTTTATATTTTGATCTGCAAGCAAAAGTGACGCAAAACTCATAAATTAGATTAGAAAAAAATGTAAGTTCATAATATTTGAATTGTCTTTTAGCTTTTAAAAGTTGTGGTCATTTGAATTATTTTATTATTCAGCATAATATCTAACCAGATAGTTTTTTTTTTTTAACGGGAAACTCTAATACTTAATATAATGACATAAATATATAATGGTATAAAAACTAAATGAGTACTATTGCTTAATTTATAGTACCTATGTGTCATGAAAACAAAGTATTTTGATATGTTAGGTAATTATATACAGAGTGATTCACCACGCATGCTCACCCCCTGTTTTCTTCAATAGTGCAGCAATTCAAAATATAATTTTTGGAATTTTTAAACATAGGTATCTACTTAGATACAAAATTTAACCTAACATTTTTTATATAAGGATTTTCCTGTGGAGATACAAACTTTTGTTTTTCAAATGAGAATCCCTTTTTTACTTTAAATTATTTAGCAGATAATTTTTCTGGAAATGCTGACATACCAAAATGAAAATTCAAACGAGTAGTTTTTGAGTTATTTTAGTGAAAAAAAATTATAATATTACAATTTTTTTTTATAAATTATATTATATGTTATCATTATTAGTATTTAATATTTATTACTATCCAAATTTATGTCAGACTTGACTTCCATATAAACCCAATCATACCAGTAAATTTGTACAATATAATAATAATTAACATAAAACATTACCTCATAATATTATGCTGTATTTAATATACTTATACACCTAAATATAGTTATATATATCTTAATATATCATTAGAGAATAGAGATTATATTATGTGTTTTACTTTCACAATAGCTTATCACTTTATCTATTATAATTGTATTATAAAGGTATATCTATATAGTATTATTGTATATTAGGTACTATACGTAAAACGGGTGGGGTAGGTACCTACTTAAATATAACTGTAGTTGTTTCTGGTAATGTGGAAGTGTGGAACCAACCTTAAAGTAGGTACCTATTACCTATATAGTAGGTACCTATTATATCTAAATACCTAATACTATTAGGCTAATAGATAATAAAATAGTATAGATAGGTACGTAACTAAATACAATAATAGGTAGGTACCCTATAGTATGTGTGGTATAATATTTTCTGTGGTATGTATTTTTTGATATTGACATACAAACCTATGCGCGAGCACATAACATATGCATATGAGCATAGTACTGTTTATCAATTATCATAAATCTAAATAATCTAAAATACGGCTAACGTGCGTATATGTAATTAGGTTGTATGTATTACTCAGCACCTATATAAGCTTGAACTACTACTTTAGTATTAAAAATATATTTGAATTATTCAAATTCTAAACAATATCTACCACATTATAATTTATAAGTGATACAGCAAAATCGATAAAATTCACATATGGGTATAATATTATAAGACGTGCAGGTTAGCAGATAGGTATAGTATATGAAATTTGTATTTACTCAAGAACGGAAATCGAGGAGTGGCAAAGAGGTACTTAAGCATATAGCACCAACAACAATTTCCAAGTACCACTAATTTTTTCCCAAATTTTCACGTGTGACTAATATTATTATTTTTGAGCATAGGTATATTGTAAAACATCAGAACATTTGTGATTTTTATATTTATTTATAAACTATCTAAATAAATAAGATTTTATTTTGAAGGAAGTCATTCCGTTTCATTCCATAAATAAAAAGATTTTATTTAATTAAACAAGAATTCTGGGTATTCAATTAAAAATGAATAGTTGCAATAATGCAAATTTTTTATTTTTGCTATTATAGAAATATTATCATTATGACTCATGTCTGCTTATTATCAACCGACGTCCGACAATGGTTATATTTTATATATTATTGTATGTGAAGTACAGAAAATTACAAAGATTGGATAGGTAGGTACGTACCTAATGTACGTTTATGTATTTTATGCAGTATCATATTCTATAATATATGTACAGGATGATTCACCAAGAATGGTAACCCCGATTTTTCTTTAATAATGATTTTTTTTCTTTATTCATATTCTGATTTTTAAGTGAGTACTTAAACTTTTTTACAGGTTTTCAACACACGTGTTGGTTTACAGTTAATTTATTTTTCTATTTAAACTGAAAAAAATTATTTGCCATTTTCTTTAGGATTTTAAACGAGGCAGTATCCGCATCTTTCTTAAACTGTGCTATGAAGGAGCTATGGTGTCGACGAGTTGTTATATTTCCCCCTTGGCCATACCACAGAACAATATATATAAGTGACACACTGACACTGCAGGCACATCAGCTACGAACTACGATTGGGTTCTTGTTTAATTCTTGTTTTATCGTTAATAGTTTAATACTACAGAAATTATCCATAAAATAAAATATTAAATCAATTAACTACACTTTTTACCAATTAATAAACCATCTATTTATACAAAAATATAAGTACATTAACTTATAAATAGGTAATAGTTACATTATAACATAAAAATTTATGAAATAATTAATGTATGACATAGCTAAATATTATTATGGTATTGGAAAATAAAAAAGAATTATAAAATAATTATATTAAATCTAATCTTCTAGATCTTTTAGCAAACTTGTCAATTATATCTTAATTTTTAACCCATTTGTCTGCACCATACTGGTGTATAGATAAAAAATTCTTAATGCGGCGCATTGATGAAAATAACCTTTCACATGTTCCTGATGAAATTGGAATGGTTAATGCAAATTTCATTAATTTATAAAGATTCGGATATATTGGTACTTCTGGATTGTACACGCACATGATATCTTCCAGAAAATAATTATTACTAAGACAATTTTTGAACAAACTGGAAACTCGTTCTTATAAATGCAAAATTACACTTTAATGGGCCTCGCTATACTGCCGTCAATTTTAGCTGAAAAGACCTAAAGTATTGACAAAATCAAAGTCAGTTAACGTTGTCCGATTTTGATACTGAAAAAAAATTTTAACTCACCAGAAATCTGTCTATATAGATCCTAAGAAACACTTTGTAAAAACTAAATTTTATATTATTGTGAACCGTAATTGAAAACTTGAAAATGTCAACTTTTTCGAATCACAATTAAAATTAAAATCGGCATTAAAAACGGAAAATGTTTCGCGCGATCTACAGACATTTTTCTGCTGAATTCAAATATTTTTTCAGAATCAAAATCAGACAACGTTAACTAACTTTAATTGTATAAAAACAAAAGTATGTTTTTGTAAAATTCGTGTAGTGAAATTGACATGGTTATCGAGTTATTGATATGTGCATGCATAGAGGATTCCCTCATTTAATTTCACTCACATCAGTTTTGTTCTATGCTCACACTATAATATAATAATCATTATAATAATCATTTACAACTTTACTAACACAATATAGATCCCGGGCGGCTATGAAAAGATTAGAAATTGCCTAAATATTGCCCCTTAAATAATGTCCGTAGCGAGGTCCTTTAAAAAAACTGATTACATCACCAAAGAAGAGATTACTGCAGACGATGAAGAATTTTATGTCCCAAGCGACAATAATAAAAAAAACGATGGATTGTATTGAACCAAATATTGGTGTTTGTTCACGTGAAGCTGGATACAATAATATGTTTTCGTTACCGGTTCGTTGATTTCGCTTATTAATCGGTTAAGAATATAAGACCGAAGGCGCATAATATGTTTTTTCGTAAAAAGTAAATCGAAATCAAGTTAAAAAAGGTTAAAAGTAGTATACAATTATTTAAATTATAGTAATAATTAATAATCAATGATGTATTATGTAATAATAGCATCGGAAAGTTTTCGATATATGTATACGTTTCATTTAATTTCAAGTAATCTGATGCTAATTTTATTTTAAATATTTTTAAATATTTTAGAATAATTAAATATTTTTAAATATTTTAGAATAATTAAATTTTTTTACAAATAAATACATAAATTATGTGATATTGTAGACTTTCCGTGTATATTTTAATTATTTTACAAATAAATATACGTATTCTGTATTATTGAAGAATTTCCATTTTTATTTTAGTATTTTGCGATAGGATTAGCCATTAGGTCTCTGTACTGTACACTTTTGACATCAAACGACAACGATTCGATATCTTATCTAGTTATCTAAGTAGTAGGTAGTAATTTCAGTATACGAGTATATGCGTTCGCTTTTCGATGAGTATTCGTATGAGCGTTATTCGATCACGTTATTTTCGTATTGTGTCCGTGTGACCGTGTATGTAGTTTGTATAATATAATATTGTTAACTATTTAAATATGCCCAAAGTAGCTCGCACAAAACGGTCAAAAGTTAGCATTTATTTGGAAGAATTTCCGAATGAAACTTTTAGGAGTGATGGACAAGTGTTATACTGTCAGTCTTGTGATAAATCAGTATCTATCGACCAACGTGGTCAAGTTATTCAGCACATCAATACCAGTAAACATAGAGGCAATAAAGACAGAAAGCTTATATTTCAACAAAATTTTATTTCTACATCATCCGCATCTACCAATAGTAAGTCAGTTTTTAACGATGATTTGTGTCGTGCACTAATACGTTCAGACATTCCTCTTTTTAAATTGAAAAATGTTGCATTTAAAAATTTTATGGAAAAATATACTGGTCATAAAATTCCCGACGAGAGTACACTTAGGAAAAATTATGTTGGTGGGGTGTATGAAGAAACTATTTCGAAAATTCAAAATATCATTGGAGATGGCCCTATTTGGGTTGGAGTAGATGAAACAACAGACGCCGACGGTCGATATATCGCAAATGTTATTGTAGGAAAATTGAGCACTGAACCATCTAAACCATTTTTATTGTGCTGTGAAGAATTAGATAAATGTAACCACAAAACTGTATGTCAATTATTTAATAATGCAATGGGTGTTTTGTGGCCGAATGGTATAAAACACAATAATGTACTTTTACTTTTAACGGACGCCGCGCCGTATATGTGTAAGGCGGGAAAAGTGTTGGACACATTTTATCCAAGAATAATACATTTAACTTGTCTAGTACATGGTTTTCATCGTATAGCTGAAACAATTAGATTTCAATTTTCAGAAGTTGATTCGTTAATTTCCAACGTAAAAAAAATATTTTTAAAAGCGCCAAGTCGTATACAAACATTTAAAGATATGTACCCGGATTTAACTCTACCTCCCGAGCCTATTATAACTCGATGGGGTACGTGGTTATCAGCTGTATTATATTATTCAAATAACTTTGAAAAGATTAGAAACGTTGTCTTAAATTTAGATCCTGAAGCTGCAATAGCAATAAAAAAAACTGTTGAGCTCATAGACAGTAAAAATTTGCAAAACAATTTAGCATTTATTTCGACTAATTTTGGATTTTTGGTTGATACTATTTCAAAATTAGAAACTTCTAAAATGCCACTAACGGAGAGCTTAGAAATAGTTGATAATGCCATAAAGCAATTAGAACGGGTTCCTGGAGAAATTGGAGTTTTGACCAATTCAAAATTAAAAAATGTATTGGAAAAAAACACAGGTTTTAATACTGTAATGTCAATAAGAGACATACTATTAAACAAAACTCCAAATAACAATAATTCAGAAATTGAATACACTCCAAAAGAAATAATGTGTATGAAATATGCACCTGTCACGTCCGTTGATGTGGAGAGGTCATTCAGCCGTTACAAAGCAATGTTAAGACCGAACCGCCGCCACTTTACATTTGAAAATTTCAAGCTATATGTTGTTTCTAACTGTTTCCCACATGAAGACTATGATGAATCAGAATAGATTTTTAATTTTTTTATATTTTTAATTAATTATTTAATAATTCTATGTTATTTTCAATTTAAATATTTAAATATTATACATTTATAAATAAATATTTATTAAGTAATAAACAAATATATATTTAAATATTTTTAATTTTATACTAAATTAAAATCCGTTCCCTAATAATCATAATAGTCGTCGATCATAAAACGTTGACAACCGCGGTTGCGTTCGTCGTCGATTTATTCCTCCAAGGCGTGCGACGAACGCTTTTTCTTCCATTGACCGATATCGTAACTCACTGCCGGCCGCCGCCGAGTCGGCCCTCTCCAACCACACCGCGCCGACTAACCGGACGATTTTCGTTTCATTCCGCGGTTGCCTAGAGTTGTGTAGCAGCTACTTGTTATTTTCCAATTGCCGAACCGTTCATTTCGCCGGCGATTCTTTTGCAAAATTTACGTTTCCCGCGTACACCGAGTTACCTCTCCGTCGTTAGCACTGTTCGGCGGCTGTCCATTGCAACTCGCAACCAGAACCGAACACACACGAAGAGTGAACATGACCGCTCAACAGTAAGTGATTACGTTTTTTTTTTTTTTTCCCCTGTCCGGACGCGCCATGTTGGGTCTGGACAGCGGACGGTCGCGAGACGTGTTTCACACGGACGGCGGGGAAAAAATGTCTGCGATGTGCGCGTTTGGCTTTCCCGACGCCTGGGCCGTCTACGGGCAGCGGTGACGACCGCCGCTTCCGCCACCACCTCGTGCTCTCCGCGCACACACGTGTGCCCGCCGTTTCCGTTTTTCCGACTTCCACCGCGCCTCGGGCTCGACTTCCGGTTTATCCTGAGTCCAGACGATCGGTCGTTCCGGCCGCCCCCACCCCCACCCCAGCTAAACTTTGAAATGTTCCACTCGACATCCGTTTTCGAAAGAACCGCTGACGCCTGTCCCCCGATAACTCTGGTGCGCGCGCACCGGTAAATTATTGCAGTGCCGTCGTTTCCTGGTCGTGAGATTCAGCGGACCGTTGTCCGTTGGATCATTTTCCTGTGGATTGATCTCTTCGTCTCTCGAATTCGAATTCTCTCGTAATACTTTATCGATCAAACGCCGTACGCCCCCTTCCACTCCACCCCCACCACCATTGACACCCCACCCCCTCTTCAATACCAATACCCTATGGGAACAAAAGAAATGATAAAGCTTTTTTTTTTTTTTATATAGTACTTAACTTACCTTCGAGGTGGGCTGGCAGCACCCTCACTTGACGATGACTGATTATATTATATTATTTTTACTGTATTATGTCTGCCCTTTCGGCCGCACAATTTCAGCCAACGGTGATTTTGTTCAAACCGAGTCCGACACATTATGCAATATTGCTTGTGACAATAGTATCAAATTTCATCAGTGGTACTCGTGCAATCAATAGATGTTTTGTGACTAATCGCTTGTACATAATATTTAATCCTCCCTATCCGTAATGTACCTCTGGGTTTGTAAATAATATTCTAAGGCTTAGGCGGGTACAAACACCTACTATTAATTTATATAGAAACCGTTTATAAAAACAGCAACATAATTTTATTAGAAACCTTAGTGGCTTGGTGTCGATAAATCAATATGGAGTGCCTACATAAGTGTATTAATGGAATACAAGATGATTATCTAAACATTTTATTTTATCTAACGTTATTCATTCAAAATTGTTTGATTTGTAGCATTCATAAATTTGCAATTTAATTACTTACTTTGGTACTTAAGTACTGGTTTGTTTTTGATAATCTGGTTTACTAAACATTTTCATAAGTACTTAGGATAATATTAGATATTTAACAGTTTGATTTTTAAAGTAGTACTTACCTGACCTATAGTATACTTATATATGGTCTAACTTAATTGTTAAGTAAATAATATTAATATTAGTATTGAAGTTAACAAAAATGTAAAATATAATTTTCTTTGTTAGGTAATACCTACTTTAAAACCTATAAATTAAATATAACCTAAGTAATTTTGTTAAATAATATTTTTACTGGACAGTTTAAATGGCTCAGGCTTTATAAAGGCACTGTTTGTTATGTTAAGAATAATGTTTGTGCTGTTGGAAACACATTTTTCAGTTGTTGATATTGTACTCCATAAGAAAAAATAATGTAGGTATAATTTTGAAAATAGAAACCTAACTTCCCTACTAATTAAATTGTTTTAAAATTATTATAATACTCGTTTTAAGTACTTGATAATATTGTACCGTACCTAGAGGAAAAAACTAATTTTAAATATTGCATATAAATAATATGTGGTGTCATAATAATGCCGATGATAATACTAGCTTGGTATAAATAATACTAATAATAATAATAAAAAAAAGCAGGTAAGTGGATTCCGCTCTGCTGTACAGTATATTAAGTTCAATGTATACCTAATGGTTTGTATTAAACTTGAATTCAATGATATTCTATCATTGTATAAGAAAAACTATTTGTCAGACTAGATATTTAATATTCTCATTAATTATTATATCATGTAAGTTGAATTAATATTATTATTTTTTATTTGTTTCTATGGTAATAAACAAATCATTAGAAATTAAAATCCAATTTTTAGCTGTTTTTTATAATTTTTCGGTGGTTTCTACCTTGGCATTAAATAACTATTGATAAAATCGAAAAATGACCTCTCTAAAGTACCATCTTGATCCAATTTGCTAAAAGATAAGATACTATATTATGTGGAAATTGAAGGATTCCTTCTGGTAGAAATTTTGTATTGAGGATATAAAAAAAAAAAAAAACCACTGTAAACCACTAGCTTCCTCGCTCTGCTCAGAATCTAAAATAGTAAGTAGGTACTTTTTTGAATAATAATCGATGTAAACTGATATAAATATTGACTGTTGTTTTTTCAAAATCAATTAGATAGGTAAATAAATTGAAAATGTTCTGTATGTTAAGTGCAGGTATACATGTAGTTTTAAAACTTAATAATGTAACATTCAATTTTGAAACTGGTTTACAAATAAATGTCAAGTTTCAAATCAGTTAAAATAAATTATAATATAAATTATTTAATTTTGTTATACCTATATAAGATTTTGTTCAAATATCCCATAGGAAATCTATAATTCGCCCCTATTAACTCCCTATAATAATGTTAAAATTTAGGTATTCAAAGGAGACATGTAAACAACATCAATATTTTAAAAATATAGGTACCTATAGGCTATAATATGCTGTACCTTCATATAAAATTTAACACATGTACCATATTTTTTCTTTGAAGCTGATTTAGGAGAAAACAATTTTAGGTAATATCTGTCACTACACTTTTAAAAATAAATCTTTATTTATATTATAATTTAGAATATTGATTATATAACTATTTAATGACAATGCATATTATTATAAATAAAATAAGTTTTTGTGACTCATATCATACCTACATAAATATTTTACCTATAATATTTAAACAAGTCTCAGCTTCATATATCCGATTAACCAAGATAAAAAACTGTGTATTTTATTGTATGTGCATAAGAATGTAATAATAGATACATCTATAACAATAAAAGGGAATATATTTAATACATTATTTTGAATTTAACCAATTTAATGATAATTATTTATCTTTATTATTTCAGAACTTTAATTCCTCCTGTAATTTGGGCACAACGTAATGATGTTGTATATGTTACCATTTGTGTAGAAGATAGCAAAAATCCAGATATTAAAATTGAAACTGAACAGATAGTTTTCCACAGTGTTGCTGGCTTGGAACAGAAAGTATATGATATTACCATACCGTTATATGGAGCAGTAGAACCTGAAGTAAATTTAATTAGTTTATTTTGTATTGCCTATCTACTTATTTTACCTATCAATGTAATTTTTAATGTTTTTTTTTTTTTTTTTTTTTTTAATATTAAAGAATAGCAAAACAACAGTTGGTGGTAGATACATTGAACTGGTTTTGAAAAAGCCATCTACTGACACCAAGTATTGGCCACAATTAACCAAAGAGAAAAAGAAATACCACTGGTTAAAAGTTGATTTTAAGAAATGGAAAGATGAAAGTGATTCAGAAGACGAAGCTGCAGCAGCAGGTGGTGGTGGTGGAGGATTGGGTGGAGATGGTGGAAACATTGATGACGTATGTCAATAAGTTTAAAAAGTTAATATTATATTGTATTCAAAATATTAATTTATTTTTGTAAACTAGATGCTCAGTATGATGGGCGGAGGTGCTGGTGGCCCTAAGTTTGGAGGCTTAGGAGGAGGCCTGGGAGGAGACTACAATATACCTTCTGATGAAGATTCAGACGATGAAGAAATGCCTGAACTTGATGACATTGAAAGTGAAACTGCGGTAACTAATATAAATATTTTTTAATATCTAGCTGCACATTTTCAATGACATTTAATTGCTTATTAATAAATTAATTATTATACAGGGCAAAGGAAAAGAGAAGAGTGAAGAAACCCTGCCTAGCCTTGAAGAAGTAAAACCTAAAACAACTGCCTAATCTCTACTATTGTCATTATCTCATTCTTCCGAATTTTTGTTCACATAATAATACGGTTTAATTTAAATGATTTTGTATGTGTAATTTTTACATCAATCGAACATAATTTGTGCTCTAGTGTGTGCATTAACATTTCTCATTCAGTTTAAATGCCTATTATTGTTCACTCTGCCTGATTTATTTGTGATAATATGGTTGAAACTTGAATTTTCTTCATCCCATTCCTTTTTGCACCCTTAGAAATTAAACTCCTGAATTTTTGTCATACATTTTTCTTTATGTGTTGAATGATAATTCCTTAAATTTCTATTGGAAATTAATTTACAGAATGGCATTTTAGTAATGATGAAAACTTTTTATGTCATCTAACTTAATATTGTTTCATTGAACGTTGATAATGAAGTTTAGAATTAATGCATTTCTATGTAAAGTTGTCTTATGCAAAATTAAAATGTCTATATTAATAATATAATCATCTTTTTAAGCAACTATTTTTTTCAGGTCTTATGTTTTGTAAGACATACAAATGAAATAATTGAATGTGAAAATAATCATAACTCATCTTAAAATAATACTGTGGTTTTTAAAAGTAAAATATGGAGGAAACTAGTAACATCTGCTCAATTTTTAATGAACATAATAATATATAATTATATAGACTGAATGTAATTAAAAATATTTTTTAGTGTAAAGAAATATGCTTATTTAAAAAAAAAATTAATTTTCATATTGATACCTGGTTATAATTTTTAATCGCAAATACAAGGATACTAGTTACCTAACTTAAAAATTAATATTTACTGTTTTATTCTCCTTTAATAAATCATTTTTATACTTAATTTACATAATAGTTTCTATAATGTAGTCCTCTCCAACTTGTCCAAATGAATTTAGAAATATTCAGATTTAATTTTATTAATATATACTTAATGCTTTGAGTGTCGGTCATTGATAGCTATTCTAAAATACTGAATATTAACTAAAATTATAACTTCTAGTAGGTATTCAACTAAACAATAACCGAACATTTTTTTATGTTCCCATTTTACAAATACATTGACTATTCGACATCATCATTTTATAATAATTTTTAGAGCATTTTAAAATAGCATGCAAGATGTTTGGTACCTACTAATTCCAGATGCGGACAAGTCTGGTTCAATAAATATAATATGTATTCTAATAGAAAAAATAGAATTTTTTATGTGGACTTTATTTAAAAACATTCTACATTTAGTAGCATACTTAAGTATAACTATAATATAATTTCTTGATGAATCTTTAAATCTGATGTGAATAATGGTTAATAACCGTAATCGCTTTAAAAAATTGCTTATTTCTTATGTAATATATTACAGTTAAACATGTGTATTTTTCATCACAACAATAATATTTATAGTAAATTGTCGTAGACGAGAAAGATGCATACTGTTACATATTAGTATATTACAAAATGTTTGCAATGTTAACTATTCTAACTTGTGCGTATTAAATAAAACTCATTTTTAGCATTCGTAATTAAAAAATTTCACTTTGATACAGTATAAAGTACTAAATAATAAAGTAAGATTTGTGAAATACGAAATTCAATGTTAACGGACTGAATTGTTATAGCATAAGTCTTGCTAAAGAATTAGTTAAAAATATAATATTAAGTAAACTACGTTTTAATATGTGTTTATATTGGATGATGATACTATTTAATTATTAATATTACTATAGTTTTCAAAATATTTATTTTATATTATGTCATATTAAAATATGACTAAAAAGTATTTTATATTAATTATTTTGTCTAGTCATAAAAATAAATGCATTGTTTTTCAGTTTGTCAAATATAAACAAAACTTCATAAATATCGTTGACATATTTGTACATGTAAAGTTCATGTCAATAAAGCAAAATAATGTTTATCCCTACAAGTTACCTACAAATTTTATTTTTTTTTCAATAGGTAAGAATAATCAATTAAGTTTAAAAGTTGATAAAATATAGGTACCATTGTATCAATTCAAATATTTTAATTAATTGTAAATCTTGACGATTTTGAAAGTATCTACCTAGGCTTAATAATTATTATTGAATATAACATACAAAGCACATATTTGTTAATCTTAGTAATTATCAGTGGTAGTGTGGTACACATGGGAGGGTTCAAGGGTAGCTGCTACCCCTGATTTTTTGGTGAATGGATGTACCCCTGGCCAAAAATATTTTAAAAATAAACTATTGAATAATTATAGTCTATAGCCGTTAGCCAATATAGATTATAGAGGTAACTGATTCGATATGCTACCCCTATTTATTTCTGAGTGTGCGCACGCACTGGTACTTAAAGATATTTGGATTTCTCTTAGGTTTAAATTAGTGTTCAATTTCCATGTTTTTATAAATATGAAATATTTTCAAGTATAGTTTTAATTTTATATTCCCGCTTTATTGATCAAGTCATATTACGTTATACCTATAAATCATACAATACATGTCAATAATCCGGTCATCTTTCAAGAATAACTATGGTTACCCGTTACCTACCTATGAATTCTCTGTGGGATATCCAACTTGGACTACCCACATTAATAACATTTCTGATGCAATTGAATATGATCGGATATCTGTTTGTAATACTTGATATGATCGGTGGAAACGGTTACGATGACTCGCCGCCTTCCAAAGAGATATACATTAGATGAATGCAAGCAAGTTTGTTCATGCCAGTCGTACAGTTTTCATAATTCATATATAGGTACACCTTAACACATTGATCAGCAGGTAACTACTTGTTTAACAAGTTAAAAATCGTTATTAAATGATTTGAATTTTTTTAAATTATGTGTAGGTATAACCGTTGAAACTCTTGTTTTTACAGACTTTAGATAGGTTTATGCAGACATTTATGAATGTTCAATCCCCGTGATAATTATACGGACACCAATGCACGATACACCATTATTGGACTGATGAGTTAAAAGTCTGTAGCCATTATTCGTATTGGTACTTCACTCTGTGGCAGCTCTGATTTATTTATTTATAGGTAGAGGTGGTAGGTAATTATATTATAATACCTACTTTATACTATTTGTCAATGCAGTTCATATTATAGCACAATAAGTTTATAAAATCAAGATTTTAATAGTTTGTTACATTATATTTTGAATAACAAAGATTGTATAAATTCCAAGGCTAGGCAATTAGTAGGCATTATCGTGCTTAAAATTTTAAAATTTTTTTAATTTTTACAAGATATTTACAATCTATTCATACCTACATAGAATAATAAGCAAATTAGATAAGAGTATTAAAAACATGAGTAATATGACGGAAGAAGCCACCCAATGATGACACTACCTATTTTGTTTAGAGTTTAGGAGGATTTCAACTAGGATCCTAAAATTTAAAGTTAAATTAACAAGTTTATATTATTTTTTATTTTAACTTTTTAACTTATCAACAAATTATCAAAGATCAAACCCGCTACAGCGATGTAGCCAAATAGCCTTTACGAAACGCCGTGTCATCATAATTTTTTGACAAAATATTATAGATAACACAATAAAAGTATCATGACGTTAAACATATAGACTTTACACTTCCGAATTATTGTAGTGCGACCATAGTCGCAATTTCTACTTTTGACGTTGGGGGGCTGAATATATTAAAGGCAAGCAGACCATTGCAATATAGTATTTTAAAAATGTATGTCCTAGGTTTTTGGGGTTTTTCTTATTATTTATAATAACACGTGAATCTAAAGTGTTGCTCAATATTAATTATAACTTGCCAAATTTTATTTAGTAAGGAAACAGAGGATTGACATCTGGCAACGTTCCTTTAAACGTTTAGACTTTAAATTGGTTGATTTAGTTCCAATAATAATTGTAGATATAAGGTATAACTAGTCCTAAGGGGTCTGACTAGCTTTCGATTTCTACACGATTAAAATAAAACTTGTACCTATGTGGCTATGTACAACAAAATAGCAATATAATGTAATAAGTAGGTATTATAGATATAAATACCTACAACTTTAATCTACAAGTTCTGATAGGTATTATCTACAAGCAAACAGAAACACAGAAATCAGCTTTTTAAAACACTATCGCTATATTATGTGATAGGTATATAAATATAATTAATAGTTTTTATAATCTAATTTAAGAGGACGCTACACCCGCATGTGTTGTCTCCGTCTTACACACGTACGACATAGACAAAACGTGTTTAGGCAGTCTGAGTATAACTCGCTCAATTTTGGTTCTAGAGTAAAAATACCTATTATGAAATTGAATTGTGATAATATTTCTAAGGGCAAGACGCTGCGGTTTTTTTAAAAAATTTAATTTTTTAAAAGTCAAAGGTATTTTAAAAACGGTGAAATTTTTTCTATTTCTAAACGATATAATGAACGTTATATTGGGTATAATGGAAAAACCGCAGCGTCTTGCCCTTAGAAATATTATCACAATTCAATTTCATAATAGGCATTTTTACTCTAGAACCAAAATTGAGCAAGTTATACTCAGACTGCCTAAACGCGTTTTGTCTATGTCGTACGTGTGTAAGACGGAGACAACACATGCGGGTGTAGCGTCCTCTTAATATATGTGATGCTCATTCTCGAGTGGACCAAAATGGCAAAACAGCTCAACTTCAAACGAGCCATCAGGTGGCTCTAGGGTTGGAATACGTCCCGATTTGGCGGGACATTCCCGATTTTTAATGTACTTATCGAGCGTCCAGCTTCAATTTTTAGAGGGACCCGTATGTCACGATTTTCATGCATTTTTTCAAGTTTTGTCCCGTGTCCCGTCTTACAAGCCAGAGGGACAAGAAAGTCCCTGACATTTCAAAAAATATTGTGTCCCGAGAGTTAAAAAAAATAAATCCCAACCCTTGGTGGTTTTATTCATTTTACTGCTTTATGATTATGATGATGATAAAAAGTATCTCATCATCAGATCACATAATAATGAATACAATATGAAATTTCTTATATTATTCTGTGGTCAGATAGTTGTATGCAGCTGTCATGAACATAATATTATAAAGTATTAAAGTGAAATTAAAATTAAATCGAAAACATACTCTTATAAGTTGACTGTCACATTTACTTTGAAATTAATGTTATTCTGAAGTAAATTAAATATATTAAGTATTTTAGATTTTGAGAGTAGGTATAGAATCTAGTTATTTCACAATGATGTTTTTTTTCGTCCATTATCAACATTTGTGGTAGCTAAAATGCTTCGATTTTCGACATCACCCTCTTTTTTTTTAATAGGATAGTGAATCTAGTTGGTTAATTCGGGAGGTCAACATTGAAAATTCCTATTTCTTAATTGTTTTTAAAAGCGTTGGGAAAAAAAATGAAGAATAATGGGAACTTGTACTCAAACCCAATTTGTTGTAACTTAAAAACTCATAACTGTAGAAACTTAAAATTTTACAAACATGTTAACATATTTTTGAGCTATTTACAGGTATGAGAAATTTTAGATTTTTTTTTAAAATTATTGTTGATGAATAATTTTATGTTCGATCAAAAACTTTGAAATTTAATACAAAGTTCAATGTACGTAGATAATAATATAATAAAATTTGAGCATACATATGCATTTACAATACATTTTTATGTTTCTCTGAAGTTAGATTTAGGTAAGTATACAGAAGTCATCAAAATTCCGAAAATTGGCAAACTATTTTTCAGTTAGAAATTAATACATTTTACTTTTTATAGCTAACATAAGAAAATTTAATAGAAGATTCTCCACAAGTTTCAAAAATTTTCCCGGAAAGAAACATTTATATTTTATGTAATATGACAATATAATATGTATTACTTCGTATGGAATAATTTAATAAATTAATTATAATCTAACACATCCTTTACAATGACGCATACTTGACAACTACTGTACAGCAAAGTGATCTACTTGTCCAATTTTTTTTTATGTTTGAACTTGTAACCAAAACATTCATCAATAATTTCTTAACATCTGAATAGTACATGCATTTAGTTATGCTAATTATCAGAAAACAATTGTAAGGAAGAGCTTTTCATTCTTTACTCTATGATTGGGTGGTAATTTAAAATTTTAACCTTTTCCTTAAGCGTGAAAAAAATCTAGTTCCGCCTCTGCCTATTTGAAGAGTTTAGGCTTACTAAGAGTTGTTTAAGCTTACTAAGATAATGTCCATCTGATGTTGGATTGGTTGAATGAGTGGTGCTACATATATTTTCAACTGTGGATTTTAATTTAATATTAAAATTGCCAGTAACAGATAAGTAATTAACTTATCTAATGTCATGGAATAACATTGTACATCCAATAACTAAAAGCGCAATTTAATAATGTTACAGATATAGGTACAGTGTTTAAGTATAGCTGTAAAAATTGCATTTACATTTAAAAAAAAAAAAATGTATTTCCAATCATAGGGTACTATAAACGTTAAAGAAAATTATTACAAGAATAAAATATAAGGTTTTTATTTTTTTCTATGTATTAACAAAAAGGTAGGTATTTAAATATTCGTTAATTTAAGAATAAAACATATGTATTGAATTCATTCAGTTTTATTTAGTATAAAGATATTATAATGAAAAATAATTTTGCTTATGTTAGCAAAACAATTGATTTTATAATTGAAAAAAAAAAAATTAAACCATAGTAGCATCTCCTCCAGATACAACAACTGGTTTTTCTTCATAGATATTATCATAAAATTTCGGGAGTTGATCTCCAAGTGTCAGTTTTCTTTGAATTTGACCAGTATGGTTTATTACTCCCATACGCACAACACCTCCACTTGAACCATCACGCTTAATTGCCAATGAAATTGCTAAACAAAATATATATTTATAATAAAGTAATAGTATTGATCAAAAGTAAACTTACCGTTAAGTACAAGATTTTCACATTCTTGTTGGGTCATTCCATCTTTATATTGTGAATCCATAAAACCATACAAATAAGAACTACCAGAACCACCAATAGAAATGTTTTGTTGAACAATTGTACCACTTACATTGATCGAATATACCTATGATAAATAAGTGATGAGTTTATAATCAATTTAATTATCTGTTATTATTATGGTAAATAAAAATAGAAGACATTATGCAAGTTTTTATTTGTCTCAATATTTCTACTACCATAAATTCACTTTTATAAAAATTTTTTATCATATTCTTTGTTCAAAAACTTTTGAAGTTAGATATTTATAGGTTATACTGAACTAAATACTATAAATATTTAATTTATTTTTGAATGATTTAAATAGATGTGCAAATTGTGTGGTTAGCATAAGCGTGTGACCAGTGGTGTGGACATGATTTCTGAAAGGGGGATCAGTACATTGCCTACCAATGTGACTGAGTTGCACTATGTCCGCAAACCGATGAAACCGGATTGCCTACCAGGGTGGCTGAATTGAACCTATTGCAGCAAGTTATACCCAAAAGGAGTTTATCAATCATCATTTTAAGAGTTGCAAATTTTTACGGGCAACAAAGTGTGCGGGATCAGCTAGTTATTTATATTAAATAAGTAATAATAATTTAGTTAAAATAGATCTGAACCAGTTTTTTCATTAGATAATTGATACTTTATACAGCAAAAATAAGTACCTAGTCAAAATTACCTGCATATCATACGATTAATAATTTTGGCTGATTGTAAAAAAATGCAGAGGGTATACAGAAATACATAAAAAAAAACAATATTATATTTATTAATTACTTGTCCACCCAATCTGCTGTCCCATCCAGCTACAATGACCCCAGCAGTCAGTTGATGTCTGTTCTCATAAATCAGATTTTTAAACACATTGGCAGCCGCTCTGACAAGTGGCGGCTCGCCCATTTGAATGCTACGAAAAAAACATATTTATTTATTGGAAAGTTTATTCAACAATATATCATTAATTACCTTGTTAAATCCATGTAGTATGCAACAATGTCAGTGATGGCTTGTGTATCGGCCGCCGAACCTGACCGGCAACAGTAAATATTGTCACATACTTTTGTTAATTTATCAGTAACTCGGTTAGCAATATATGCTCTAGAAAGCAAAACATAAATGGGATATCAGTATATGAATATAATCTATTTCAAATGAATTACAAGTGTGTTTTAAATGTAAGTGTTTCAATTACCCAGTTGTAGTGCGAGAGTCAGCTCCGATTATAACACCACCGTCATAAATAGCAGCGATGATGGTAGTCTATAAAATATTAATTAAATTGATTTTATTATACATTCAATGATTATACATAAGTACAGACTTACAGTATACACAAATTAAATTACATCATTAAAAATGAGTGTTTATTTATTTATTTTGGAAAATTAGTAATTACTTACACCAGTGGTTACTTCATCCTTTGTGATATCATGAATGCCACCGTCTTGGAATCCACAATGACTGAGGAGAGACATAATTGACGATTTGCAAAAGTTTTCAAACTTATTAAACTTCGATAGATACTTCGTTTGGTAAGTTACTAACGTAAATATAGCAAAGTAACAAACAAGAAAAATTAAAATTAATAATATTAAATTTTGCTGATAATACTTAAATTGTTTGTACATAACCCTAAAAACGAAATCGCATAATCATTGCTAAGAAGAAAACCACTAACACGGTTATGGTGTTAACTGTTTGTTGATTTTATCACAATACATTTTCATACATTTTTTATCTACATTACGAATTACGATAATACGATTTACTCAAGATGCCAAGATGGAATAATATGGATAAGTTTAAAAGTTTAATCGTTAAATGTGGATTATTCGATCTTTTCAAGTAGGTTCACAAGTTTGACAAGTTCATGATAAAATAGATAGGTATGTTGTATGTAAGCAACAATACGAATTGTGTTCCGGTTAGCTCAGCCCACACCCTTCCCAGCCATAGTCGTTACTCGTTAATTACTGGTGTCGAAATTAATTTCATATAATCTGTGGTAGTAGTTCCGATTTCCCCTCATTTCATTGGCCGTTAATTACCCGGTCGACTTACTATAATATGCCTTCGGCCGACCGTCGTGCCGCTATGTTTAGTTCAAAATTCCAATGAAATTGGCGCAAAAAAAAAAAATAATAAGGTTATTGAAATTATTTTGGTAAATGTCCTGGTTATTACCACGGTTTAAGATTGTCACAATCTTAAACCGTGGTTATTACTTGGAAGTTGGAACTTATATGGCAACCCAAGGCCACCTAAGTCAGCTATTCTTATATCGAGTTTCACATATTGTCGTATTTTATACTTTATATTACCTACTTACCTATTATTTATTAACCTATTCGAAAAAATAATGTCTGTTGTGAGCTGTGTTATAGTTGTGTACAACTGTAATGCGAATTATTACGAACGACGACGACGCGCCACAATGAGAAAGCAAAAAAAATAAAAAAAAAAATAGATCTCCGGCACAATATAATATTATTTCAACATGTAAATCGTGCCGACAAGTGCTGGAGTGCAGACATTTATTGTCCAATTGTGCAATGTGCATAGAAAATACATAAGTACGTAGTTGCTTAGATCATAATATCATATTATATTTAAAATTTAGTTGATCGGAGTACAGAGGACTTGTGCCTTCCACGCCGCGTCCGTAGTCTGAATCGTATAGGTAATAGGTACCTAAACAATCGTTTGTTTGTATGACACGATTTAATTTATTAGTGGTTCGCGACTCGGTAGATAGTAGATACCTATCCGATTGCATTTGTTATTCGATAATTTATCGTTAGTAATATCCACTATAATAATAAGTTAAGGTACCTAATAGTTAGGTAATATAATAAAATATTAAATAATAGGTACAATAATTGAAAAATATAATATTAATAGATATAGGTACTATTATCTCATAATAGACATAATTATAATATGTCAATGTATACATTGTCTTTTATTTTCTACAATTTATAATAAACATTACATCGAACCCGAATTGTTGATCATTTGACGCTCTACCATCGTCCTATCCTGTCACCATCTTCTGTAAGTTGGGTGCACGCAACAGGTTGGAACATAGTACTAGTACATACTACTTTGAAGGGTTAGGGGGTTCCAGTCGGTTATGTTCTAAGGAGTAAGAATAAGGCAAATTAAGTGCCAAGTACAACTAGGCCATGTCGATGTGTGCGAGTGTAAATGAACATTAGTCAGTGGTGGATCCAGGGCTTAATTTTTTTTTGGGGGGGGGGGGCAAATGCCCCCTTTGCCTCCCCTCTGGATCTGCCACTGACATTAGTGAGTGTGCCCACACACCGCAGTGTATGTTAACGTGCATTTTCTCATTCTAAGAACCAGCGTTCTCGCACTCGCAGGCACTTGTCAGTATTTTGAATTAGGAAAAATTATACTGTTACTTTACGAGTAAAAACATACCTCGACTGTGATAAAATCGTGAGACTTAGGTTGGTGGGATTTTGATTCTGTAACGATCCAAACAATTATTAACACGTCCTCTAAAGAACTGTCGAAGAATTTTTTAGTAATATTAATTTCTTCAATAAATATGGGATATGGTTGAACATAAATGTTGTAAAAATTGAAATTTGTAAATATTATAATATTGTCAAAAGTTGAAACTTTAAAAAAAGCTCCGACCGTTCTCTCAAGGAGCTGTTAAGAAATGTTATTATTTTTACAGCATTAAAATCGAACCATATAAAGTCTCACAATCTTGTCACAGTGGAGGGTTTAAAAATATTTTTTTTTTTTTTTGATCGACTGAAACCACATGAGTAATAACATTCTAGTATTTTTCTTCGTTGGGAAAAACAAAAAAAAATCTCTAGATCCAGCTATAACGGTATGTTACAATTGCTTTCCAATAGAAAACATGGAGTGACTATTTGAAAACAATGGGATTGGTGGTGCTAATATTTTCCACCAATTTGGAGAGGAGTACAAGTGGGGGACACTCATTCTAGAGTTCGGGCCCCTTATATAACATTACAGAATAAAATATCAAGTTAATATACCAATGACGTGACCGAGTAATCGGTGGCGGAGCAGTTGGTGGTTTTATTGTCGGTACCCGAAGTCAGTTAAGGCGAACAACTAGAGAGCGCCACATTACTCATTTACTCCCCAGCGGCGACAATACTACATGCCATAGACGGTCTTGGAGAGACGAGGGCTAGAGTCGGTAACGTGTCTGGCATGAATTATGAAGATCTTCTTAGTTCATGCCTTCATGGTGTCTGGTAACGAGTTGGGTCTAGCCGGAGAGAGAGGGAGAGAGAGAGCGATGTATCACTTTGAGGTCATCACTTTATAGAGTTATGTATGACTTATATTAGGTATAACTCAATAATATATCAGAAATATAATGAAAACTTAATTTTATACATTTATATTTTGTACAAAAAACATTATTCAAATATTATAACATAGCATTATATTATGTACCTACTAATGGGGATTGTACCTATCGTCTACAGGAATTTTCTTTAATAGGTCTTACCTATTCTGTGGTCTGACTGTCAACAGACCGTCTTCCCTAGTTCCCTCAGAATCGTTCTTCATATCTATCATTGAATTAAAATTTAACACAAAATTACAATGACTTACTCAAAGACGGGGTACTGTACAGCAGAGCAATTACCTGCTTTCCCTCTTTTTTAAGTTATTTATTTTTATATTATATTATGTATACTATTTGGTATAATATACTTTCTGAATGGCTGAACCGTCTATACCTATATATTAATATTATTTGCAATCTCAGTTTGATGGGAAAATTATAGGTAAAATCATATTAATATTCATATAAATTGTATTGTTCAGAAATATCAAATATCTACCTACATTTTAGATTCTGAGCGGAGTGATAAATAATGTATTAATTTTACCACTGAGTGATTCTGTATTTCTGTGTTTGTTTTTTTCTTTTATTTCTAGGATATACAATATAAAGTAGAAAGAAATATGCGATTTTTGAACTTTGGGGGTGATTTACTGTAGCAAGTTGGATCTAGTGGTACTGAGCTTAGCATGTTTTAAGGAGTAATATTCAAGCAATTCACATGGCATGTACATAGTAAATTTGGGCAGTGTGTGTTTAAATCAAAAAAAGTAAAAAATTCAATCGGCCGGCTCCAATAATTTGGATTAGGCAGATCGAGGTGCGGGCCTTGAGTGCCGGACCCTCGGAGATGGTGACATGAGGAGGAGGAGGAACTTTTGGAGGTGATGATTTTATTTGGAAGCTCGCCGGTCAATCGTATGGTATGCTGAAATTGTAATTTTACGGACAATTATTAATAATTTTGACGATTTTTCGACATATTGTTATATGGTATATATATTATATAATAAGTCGTAACACTCTAAGTTCAAAAGTTCATAAATAGGTACTGTATGCTTATAACTTACGTTATAATATTTGTTGTCATTCTATATTTGGTAGTATAATAATTTTAAAATTTTGGAGTTTGGATACGGGTAAGGCTGATCTGGCGCGGCCGGCTTTTGCTGTGATGTATTTGTTATGGGGTCGTTTATTTTCACGCTTCTCTTAGAACTGCCACGTCGCTTCTTACTCCTTTCAGTTTACCGTCACTCCTTTAGTTCCTCTCCGACTTCTACTCTGTTATCAGCATCTCCGGTTCCAACATCTGCAGCAGGCTATCTAGTCCGGTTCGTCCGGTCGCTTGCCCCGACCGCAGCAGAATGTTTAAACGGTATTACAAATTAAAATCATCCAGAAAATCTCAAATTATAATAATCATATAAGATATATTTGGAGAAGTATGATACATATTGACCTACCGTTGTTTTTAATGGTATATATAGTCTCTCGGGGAGTAACAAATAAATTTTGAAAATTATAGTTGTTGTATAGATATTTAAGTATAATTGCTTGCATAATTACCCGAAATTAATTTGAAATAATAGTCTAAAAAGACCACACAACGTACATGTGAATTAAAAATGCCTACTGTATCAATGCGTATTTTTTACAAATAACTTGAAGTTGACTGCAAACTTTCCAAACAACATTAGACTATAGAGCGGCTTAATTTGTGGTGGAGGAAGGTAAAATGTACCCCGTTTAATTTTAAAGGAGTATTGAGTTGAAATTGGAATTGGGATTATCCGTTCCCCTGGTGCTCAATAAGGAAAAAAGTTTTAATCAATGATATTTTGCCATGTAATTTAATATTGTTCTTACCTATGCACATTTAGAATATAATTCTAGTGCTCACTGACTTAAGAATATTCTTTTTTTTTTTTAATAAATATGTTTTTTGGCTGAATACAAGATGTTTTGTTTTTGACAATTTTTTTGTAAGATTTTCTATGTCATGGTTACTAATTAACAAAAACATTTTTATGATTCATACATTTTCCTTGTAGAGGAAAAATATCCAGAACCGCTTTTTTTTTAATATATTATTACATTTTACAATTTTTAAAGACCTATTCTATAAATATTAAATATATATAATATGGGTGAAAAATCCAAAAACAACGATTGTCGATACCTCGTCAGTTTAATGAAACAAGTGCATAATAATCTATATCAGGGGTTCCCAACTTATTTTTACATGCGTACCCCATTAACATGCTAAATTGTACCCCTTGTATAACTTTTGAACTTTTTTTTTTTATAATTGAACTTAAAATATTGAAGCAAAAATAACAAAGTAATAATGAAGTACCTATATATTTTATGTTTAGTATTAAAAACCAAATCATTTTTATACAAAAATGAATTGTTATCTACTTATTTAGTGGGGGATCCTTGTCCAGAGCTTCATTGTTTTTTTTTAATCTTGATAAAATTATGCAATAATGAGTCCGTCTTGAGAAGTACTCGGTAATTGATTACTTTCTATTACATGTCTTAGTTTTAATTACCGTGTCAGTTTTTAACCATTGATCTATATCCATCGAAATATATTATTTAAACTAAGATAATAAGTTAGCAAGATTATAAAGATTCTATAGGTATTGTAACAAGCAAAAACCATATAGGACAAAGGAATATATAAGTATAAATACTTACTATTTGTTAAAGGGCGGTTTAAAATATTGCCCCGTCTAGTGAAACCCAAAATGACAACACTTGGCAACGACTTTTGTGAATGGTAATAACTAATAAGTAATAACCATTCTATTCTACTGTGTTTCAAATTCAAAATTGTTCACGGTATAACAATAAATCTGAAAAAGTGGATAAGTAGGCAATCTTGCTCTTCTGTAGGATAGATGTCGAGTGTACTTCGTCATTGAGTAGGCCACTGTAATAGATGTGTTAAATTGTAATTCAATGATAAATCATATAGTAGATATATGAAAAATGATTCTGATCGGAGTTGGCTGGGGTCAGCCAATATTTCTAAGCTTATTTTATATTTATATTGCTACTAGAGTAATATATTTTACTATATTAGTAATACGGTATATATAGACAATAGCTTAAAACTAATCTTAATATTTTTAACGTTTTATTGAGTATAGGAAATGATAATTTAATTAACAGTGGAATGTTTCAAGTTCCTACGATTAGTACACTTTGTATTACATTAGAAAAATTAAAAATTATTTGATGATTGGAAATCCAAGATTGTCAACATTTAAACTTTTAAGGCTTGTAAATAAATTCTGTAATTTTTTTTTAATTCCAGTATTAAATCTTAATGAGGAGCCTTGTATCAAATTTTCATGTTTTTTGACAAAGGGAAAATATTGTGTAGATTTATAGAACAAAATAAAAATTTCAAATGTTTATATATATCTCAAAAAGTGTCAAAATATTATGAAAACTATACAATGTATAGAAAATGCAAATATAAACATTTGTTGAGATTTTCACGTATCTTTAGTTATTAATTTTTAATTATAAGGTATAACTTATAACTTAAGAAGATAATAGATTTTTTCATAAAAGTCTCGTTTTGTCCTATTTCTTTTTTGTTTTTCCAAGTAAGATAATTACTTGGAACTTTTTATTTTTTACCCACCAAAGTACCAACTGGAATCACTTTTCTCTGAAGCATATTTTCTACTATATAAAGGTCTTCAGATACAAAAATTTAGAAATCTTCTGAATCTAAAAAATATCTCATTTTAAATATTCTTAATCAATTCAATATATTTATTAAATTATAATTTTATGACTAGATATTTGAAATTGATTTTGTTAAGGACGGTCATTGCAGGTATGCTGAAGTATACAATCGATTCTTTCGACATTTTTTTGTAGTTTTAGAATTAAAAACCAAAACTAAAGACATTTAATGTAACAAGTAAATTAATGTAAATGTCTTTTTTTCGAATTCCATCTACATATACCTAATACAATTTCAATGTATGAATTTATCATAAGTAAGCATATTTTTTCATGTTTATCCATCATCCACTTATTTAAATGATATTGTGTTTTAAGTTTTTTACATTCTTTCTGACCACTTACCTGCAATTTTATCACAGTTTTAAATTTTAATATATTAGGTAAAAACTAAAATCAATACATTTTTTCAAGCCTTCCTCCATCTCGACTTATATAAAACTACCTACCCATTTTTTATATATTATTTTATTTTTTTTATGCGTTTTCTCGAAATGGGTACTTATTGATTTTAATGACAAGATTTAGATTTTTTTTTTTGAAAATATTAATTGTTTGATTGTTGAAAATGCATATGTTCACTATTATAACACTTAGCTGTCAGGTGTAACTGGCTGAGGCATGAGGCTAAACAATATGTAGGGCTGTCCACCTTTTGGATAACCACACCGTATTCACTACCATACACAGTAGGTACCTTTACAATAATAGTATTTGTGAACTCAACTCGGGCAAAAACATCGTTGTAGTGTGGTAGCGGTGACGGCGCGGTGGTGGTGTTTATGCTATTCTGGTATTCTGCAGTATTTTGAACAGCAGATGTCCTTTGAACCCCGTGGGAAACTCTTTCCATAAACAAAAATTTCCACATGATTCGTTATTATATTATTGTACAAAATTATCAAAAATTATGAATATTATAAAATTAAACACAAAATATATTATACATATATATGAAGCATGCCTATTATTATCGGTTGGTTTAAAATATTAAATACCTACCAATAATATTAAATCATCCGAGTTTAAAAATATTTTTATATTACGCTGATAAATAAATAGTAGTTTTATAAAATTATAGAATTTTTTTTAATAATTCATCATTAGGTAAAATAATAAACCAATTTTTGTATAAAAGTATTTATCTCTATCTAATGTCAACAATGACATGACGTATAGTGTGTTTTCATAATTAACTAAACTAATCAAATATTTAACAAGTATATTTATTTGGTTTTGCTAAATAGTTTTTAGTTATCGTAATAACTGTAAATAATATTTATTTAATCCGATAAATGATTAAAATAAATTTATGTACTACTTATAATTTATATACAGTAATCTAGAAAAAAAATAGCAATTAACCATTTGAGTGATCATTATTCATTTATGATGTTAAACACACGTTTTAAATTAGGTACATAATATATTGAAGTACCTATTGGATATTATTTTATTTTACACACGATATAGGTACCTACATGTTTTCTAAATATATATCAAACATTTGTGTACCCAATGGCCAATACCCATTCAAGTTGTATGATACAACGGTGTTTAATATATTAGCTTACGTAAATTAATAGCTAAAAAAAAGGTTTATAATAAATTGGTAGGTAATTTGTTAGTGTATAGCAGTACATAAACTGTACACGGTATACCCGAATACCTTATAATTTATATTTATAATTTATAGTTTAGTTAGAATATATGATTGTCTTTTACTTAGAAGTTTTGATATTCTATACATGACTATTTCTTACAAAATACGTATATTACCTGTACTATTATAATGCAATAAATTTAATTGATTTTGTTGAAAAATTTTAACGATTTATAAAAAAATGTATAAAAAATATACATTTATAAGTATACCTATAGGTATTAATCTTCTTCCTTATTAAATATTAATTATGAAATATTCTGTACAATGTATAATGTACATTTACAGTGTACACATCATACATAATTATTTTATTATATTTATGAATATTGATTAGGTATACACATTATTTTCAAGACTATAATAATTTTTGGCGATCGCAAACGTAAAGTAAAATGTTTTTAAGTAGACATCATAATATTATAATACAATGCGAACATAATGTCAATAATGTGAAAAAACACTGACGTCGTGATAAATAAAATTCAAATTCAAATCTGCTAAAATTAACAAGTTTAGTCCGAATACTGTTTTCTACCCCCCGATGTCGTCTAAACTCCGCTCGCCCGATTGACGGTCGATACCGCCACCTTAGCTGGTATTTACATATATGTTCGTGACAATGGAACGGCCACTGGGCGATAATAATACACTATGGCTCTCTGGAAAGTAAAAAACAAATATTAACTTGTAATAATATATATAATATATCAAAAGCATATGTCTTAGAGTATAAAACACACACGTAAAAATAATAGTACATTATTGTCTGTACGAGACGTCGGATTTCGATATTTAAAATTAAAAACAATTTACTGATAAATTTATTTGCTCTTGCTTGATAAGTTATATTAAGTTTTTACAATTTAGGGTATATTTTCTTATGTCACTTAATCATAATTTATTTGTTGTGAGAATTGAGGGACTGAAAGTTTCACTATTATTTTTTACTTTTTTCTTCTTGGAAAATCAATAACAATGTAATTTTATCCTAATACACATTTACATAAACAAAAAAAAACTATTAATTTTTTTTCAATTTACATCAAAATAGGTAGGTACAACATAATATTTTTATTATTATTTTATATTGTATGTAGATATTATATACACGCAATCTTTGTAAAAAGTTATATAGTATCCATATATAGGTGATGATATTGATTTTTATTTTATTTGTTGTCCACCTTGTCCGAATTCTTGAAACTAAGGAAACTATGCATTTACCCTGCATCCCCAAATACCTCGATGGTCCATTGAAACAGTCACCAGGTTGATTTTAAACCTTTTGGTACACTTTAACAAAATTAGCGATTGGTTTTAGTTTGGAAAGGTATTTTATATGTAAAGAAAACATTTTATTAAAAACAAATGTAGGTATAGTACCAAAGTGAGAATTGAAATTAAAAATACATTTAATGAACTTCGTAAAAGCAAGTAAATGTATAATATAATAGAATTTTGTATAATATTTTAGCATACCATTTTAATTATACGTTTTACAATTATCTTTTTAAACCTAGTATGAATGATTATGTTATATTTTTTTAGAAATATTTCTTTCTTTTAACCGATATTCCTATTTTACAATTTAAAATAATTTTATAATTCATTTTTATACGAATATAATATTATGTGGCATGCTAGATAATTATTTTAATACAATAATCAACTTTAGTTTGTATCCTATTTTTAAACTAATACTTAACTTAATAAGTCAAATTGAAATATCCCTTTAAATTATTTGTTCGCCGAGTATTCGTGTGTTCGTATAATTAGGTATACACGATAAGATTATCGTTTTTTTTTTATCCTGGGGACTCGTAATTTTATAATGGGAATTGCAAGAAATATAAGTTTTTATGTAGGTACTCAACTGTAAAATGCCTAGGTATCCTATGGTTTAAGACAAGTATTGAAAAATGTTGAATAATAGTGTGTTTGTTTAGTTGTTCTTACAAAACAGAATATTGTTGTTTTAATTTTTAATCATATAAAATAATTAATACCTAAGTGGCTCGATATAATATGTTATTTATTAGCAATGAAATCTTATCGGAAAATGTATTGAAGTATTGAATGTGAATACCTACGTCATAATATTAGTATTTGGATCAACTAATATCGAAATAATGTTCAATATAAAATACACCCAACTAGTTTTGAAATATTCTGAAATTATTGGAATTTTAATATAATATCACACAATTAAATTATTATTTAAGATTTAATATAATATATTAAATATACAAAATAAATATTAAATTTTCAGAATGTGAAATATGTGCAGCATCAAGCCATCGCATGGTTTTTGGGTTTCTTTTTCAAAATAATTTGGTCAGAGTTTAATTGTTTCATCAGGAAAATATAATTTACCATTGTCTTCATACAAAATCAAAGAAATTTATTCTTTTTTAAAGTACAGTGTGCTATAACGGTATATTCATGTTTGGTAACGATATAGCAATAATTTAGTATAAAAATATTAATATTGCAGTCCTGGGTTTTTAATTTACCTCGTAAAGGAGAAAAATCTGCTTGAAAATATTGTACAATGATTTGTATTACTATATACCAATAACCCTGTTATAATACTTCTTTTACAGCTGTAAAAAAAATGTATTAATAAACGATTAATGTTCTTTTTTTGACAGACAAAAAAAAATTAGGAAAGAAACCCTTTCTTAAAATGAATAAAACCACGATACCATAAAAATCACATTATTGTAGAAATAAAAATAATTTAGTTAGTTAATTACAAGGCGAAATTGATTAAAAATGTACCAACAAACTTACTTTTTGTAAAATAAAGCATTTTACTTTTTATTGCACGTTAAAAAGTATAAATATATTTTTAATAGTAAATATTTCATAAGCAGGCAGTTTCTGCCTTCTGGTATCAGTAGTTGTTTCGAGGGTGGCGGTGGGACTACTGCCCCCCCCCCCTCTATCTTGTATTAATAATTATTAAAAATAATAATTTATGGTAATTATTGACAGAAGTCAGTAAATATTAAAGTATAAATATAACACAAGAATAAAACGTAAGTAGGTACGCTTGAGCAGTTTTCACTAAGAGGATGAAAACAATTTTGTTTGCATATTTTTTTGAGCCATAATAAAAGTGAATCATTTAAATGTACACACCTTTCTCCCTGAAAGTTTTGTCAAAACCGCTACTATGCACTGTATATAGTCGGCGACTTGGCGTGTCATTACTAATTTACGCGAAATTAGGTATATTCAGAACAAAATTGCTTACCTATTCATTATTCATAATTTGTTAGTACTTATAAGTTATAAGTGTACCTACGTAATATACTATAACCTATCTTATAATATGTGGGTATGTATCGTTAGAAACACACATATCTATTTACAATTTAAGCAAATTAATTATATTATTTCGTTACAGGCGCGTTAGTAGTTTTTCTTATTTATCTCTCGATAAATTGTATTTTATGGCAAATATCATATCTTGGCGCAGTTAATCGCTTGTGTGATTCGGTCGTGTGAGAAACGTTAACCCGTAGACAAGTAAAGCCAGTTATAGCGAGGATTACGGCAGATCAGATCGCTCGCGAAATAAATCCCCGTAATTGTTTCCGAAAAGAAAAACAAAATTAGTATATGAAAAGTTTTATCGGATTCCAAATAATACGCATTTCTTAACCGCGCGCATTCGTCGTCGTCGTCGTCGTCCTCGCGGTGTCCGGTGGCTAGGCGCTATTAAAATTTACGGTCACTTTATATCCGTGTTCGGGCACGCACCTATACACCCACACACCCACAGAGACTTTTGCGATTTACCGAGAAATAATTTCCACAAGCATCTAGTATTATCGTCGCCGACCCGCGTAACCATCTATACATGTGCATTTTTGTAAAAGCCCTGCTCGATATACCTATCTCGCATTGACTATCTTTTGCAACCTACGTTTCCGCACCGGCATCCTCGTCGTCATCTCACCGGAGTTCTCTCACCGCGATTCCCTATAATATCGCTGTGTTATCGTCCACCGCTATACCCAGGTAGAAATATATTAATAAATAGCGCGATATTCTCTTCCCAGTCGTATCCCGCCACCATCGTCTTTATACATTATCTGGCGCATATATATAATAATTAAAATTTGGATATTACAATATTTCTCGCAGAGTTATTATCGCGGAAAACACAATATTATATGGCCCTAGGTATACATCGC